GTCCAGATGCCCAGTTTTTTGTTTTGTTTCCTCTTGAAGAAATAAACACAATAGTGGTGACATCAGTCTTACACCAATCGGCCACTTTATTAAGTACACCTCCTTGTTTCTGCACTTATTGTCCATTTTATCAGCTACACTTGCCAAATACGTGCACGTTATAGTGTTTATGGATGTTGGATCATTCTCAGCACTGCAGTGACACTGACATGGTGGTGGTGGTGTGTTAGTCTGTTGTGCTGGTAAGAGTGGATCAGATACAGCAGTGCTGGAGTTTTTAAACACTGTGTCCACTCACTGTCCACTCTATTTGACCCACCTACTTGTAGATGTAAAGTCAGAGACAGTAGCTCATCTGCTGCTGCACAGTTTGTGTTGGTCATCCTCTAGTCCTTCATCAGTGGTCACAGAATGCTGCCCACAGGGTTCTGTTGGCTGGATATTTTTGGTTGGTGGACTATTCTCAGTCCAGCAGTGACACTGAGGTGTTTAAAAACTCCAGCAGCACTGCTGTGTCTGATCCACTCAGACCAGCGCAACACACACTAACACACCACCACCATATCAGTCTTACTGCAGTGCTGAGAATGATCCACCACCTAAATAATACAGCACACAGCTGTCCTCTACATTTTCTTATTAATTGAATAAAAAATAAAATACACTCTTAAAAAAGATGGTTCTTCAAAGGTTCTTAAGTAAAGACAGTGGTTCTATATACAACCATAAACACTTAGAGAACACAAATGGTTCTTTGCATGGTGAAACTGTTCTTCAGATTGATGGAGAATGTGTTGTATATGGAACCTTTTTGAAAATGGTTCTATAAAACACGAAAAAGCGTTCTTGTATTGTTGAACAGAACCCTTTTTGGTGCTATATAGAACCATTTACTACACACTCTCAATCAATCTGAGGAACCATTTCACCGTGCAAAGAACCATTTAAGCATGCAAAGGGTCCTTTGAGTGTTCATGGTTCTACAAGAACCATTGTCTTTACTAAAGAACCTTTGAAGAACCATCTTTTTAATGAGTGTAATACAAAATAAACACTGAGAAACAGTTTTGACACATAGTCGGTTATGATAAAGAGAAAAGAAAATCAATCAAATCAAGAACTTCAAATCTCCCCCAACAAAGCCATATGTGCATGTACGTCTAGCCATGGGGGCTGGAGCAGGTGGGGAGCGAGCAGAGGGCAGGCATATATGTCAGCTACACACCATCAGTCATCTGACCCAACCTGAATAAACTCATATTACTAACAGCAGAGCAAACAGAAAACTATCAACAACAAACCTGCAACAAAACATCAAAACGGCCATTCAAATTGTTAATTTTCCAGACATTTCTGAGGAGATGAGATATGTGATAATCTACTTGCACAAGGAAGGAGAAAGTCAAAAGAAAATAAGTGGAAAAACAGGAGTTTTTAAGTTCAAAACATGTTTAAAAGAAAATAGAAAAGAAAACGGAACTCTTAGCAACCACCTGGAATACCTGATAGACCACCAAAACTGTCCCCCTCAGATAAACAGCACTTAAAGCTTTAACCTTTGAGAGAAAATCAAGCTCCACTTTTGCTTCAGATCTGAAAACATCTACAAGTGTTTCTCCATCCTTCCACTGAGAGAAGACACTCAATGCTAAGAGTCTGAAAGGATGCATAGACGTCAAGAAGACATTACTGTGAAAAAACCTTATAAATCAAACAAAGAAGCTGTTTGCATTCTCAGAACAATGGACTGACCATCCCTGAGTCCAGACCTCAACCTCACTTCAACCTCAAGTGTTTGGGATTATTTGGATCGTGAGAAGCACAAAATGCAACCAACTTCTAAGACTGAACTTTGGAGGTGTGGAAAAATAGCCCTGCAGATTTCTCTGAAAAACTGAAAGCGAGTCTCCTGAAAAGAACAGAAGCTGTAATATATGAAAAATACTCTTCTGCAGCTGCATTTCTTTAGATAAAATCTGCCTTTGTTTACTGCTAGCAGTGATTCTGTGCACTAATCTGAATACTGTCCTGCAGACAGTGTGATAGTATCTGTGAGAAAATAGCCAGAACGGCACTAATCGCCAGCACAATATGGAGCAGAGCATTGGTCGCAATGCTGTTGAATATAAGGGAGCTTCTTTTGTGAGCACTGTGCAGCTGGCTCTTTTGTGCTTCATCTCAGCGTTGGCTTAGGGGGGGTGGAGGTGACGGGGGGGCTTCGGTCCAGATTTTCATTTGTTTAACCCTTTGCTATGGAGTCTGCCTGCTCCTGTTCACTCCATCCCGAGTTCAGTAGTTCTTGTACTGTTAGGAGCAGCTCTTCAGAGAGACGTTATGAACTTGAACTAGTTTCTAATCTCTGTACTTTTATAATAACCAGCACACTTATCTAATAGAAGTGGCTGGAGTGACCTAAGACCTGTGTTTAAGTAAAGGACTTGTTATTTTAATACAGTAGAGACTTAAGTAGAAGTAAAAGTATTTGCGATATTAATTAGAATTTCAATGCACTTTTTTTTTTTTTCCCCAGTTTTTCAATATTGTACTGTCTGCTATTGCTGGTGTATTCCAACCCATTAGTGCTCCAGTATCAACAAACCTTTTGTCATTCCCAGCGTCATATTTCGACACTACAATAAATAGATTCACACATTTAGAAAGCAGCAAAATTGTGGTAGCGATAATGCACACCTGCAGTTCAATTAAACATTGCCTTACCAATGTTTGTTCAGAAACATATTTACAGTTTTTTAATGAGTGTTGAATTCCATTGTGGTGAAAAAAAAAGCTGTACTAAGCTATATCTCCTGTGTAATGTCTACATTTTACATCTTGTTTATGACAGCTAGTTATCAGCTAACTGGCTCACCAGCCCCATTAGCTCTCTACTGCACAATGTTGCCTCAGGGCAACAAACGCATTTTCCTCACATGTATCAGGATGTGATACATATTTATTCACAATGAAAGGATTAACAGTGAAGGGAGGAGTTTGACTCAACAAATGAGAAGCATTTTCTTGGTCACACTGTGTTCTGGTGAGCATTTAAATCCTTTCTAAACTACACAGTTTCTCTCAGAAAATACATTTTTCACAATTTTTCTTCCATCCAAACATATGATTCACACTTTTTAGTGTTAGTTTATTTTTTAAATGTTTAGAATTATAGAAGTATACATTTATATAGAAGTATACATTTTTGTTATTACTAGAAATTGCTTAAATATGTTTGTTGCCTAGAAGCAACGTTGTGAGACAGCAGGATTGATGCAGCAATTAGCAAGTGAAGTCACTCATTTAACCACTCAAAAGAACTGCAAATGTCCTTCATTTTTCATTCAAATGTAGTTTTTATTTCAAATTATTCTTGTGTTTTTATTTTCTTATCTTATGTGTTAAGTATTTAATAAATATAAGTGTTAGTGGACAGATGCCCATTCCAGGCAATTCCGTCATGTAGCAGTCACTAGCATCATCACTTCTATTTTAAAAAAAGAAATTTAATTCTGATAACTTGTTTGATTCTTTGTAAACTATTAATTGTGGCTAATAAGTGACTGGTTTGCAAGAAATCGAAACATTACATGGTTACATTTTTCATTCCAAATAATTAGATTGAATTCTGTCTACCAGATGACATCATTTATTTCCACTGTTGCACAATGTTGCCTCAGGGCAGCGTACTCCACACAGATTACTTCAAAAAATGATTTCAATCATTAGATCCATTTTATGCAAGAAAACTGGTTCATACATTACTCTTACAAAGTGTGCAATACAACATTGAAACAATAATGATGTTAAAGTGCATTCCAGCACTCACTGAGCATTTATCGGATTCACCAGCCTTGTTTCTACACTCACCGTTTTATCAGCTCCATTTACCATTTAAGTGCACTTTGTAGTTCTACAGTTACAGACTGTAGTCCATCTGTTTCTCTGCATACTTTTTTTCACCCTGTTCTTCAATGGTCAGGACACCCACAGGACCACCACAGAGCAGGTACTATTTGGGTGGTGGATCATTCTCAGCACTGCAGTAACACTGACGTGGTGGTGGTGTGTTAGTGTGTGTTGCGCTGGTCTGAGTGGATCAGACACAGCGGTGCTGCTGGAGTTTTTAAACGCTGTGTCCACTCACGGTCCACTCTATTAGACACTCCTACCTTGTCGGTTCACCATGTAGATGTAAAGTCAGAGACGATAGCTCATCTGCTGCTGCACAGTTTGTGTTGGTCATCCTCTAGTCCTTCATCAGTGTTCACAGGACGCTGCCCACAGGACACTGTTGGCTGGATATTTTTGGTTGGTGGACTGTTCTCAGTCCAGCAGTGACACTGAGGTGTTTAAAAACTCCAGCAGCACTGCTGTGTCTGATCCACTCAGACCAGCGCAACACACACTAACACACCACCACCACGTCAGTGTTACTGCAGTGCTGAGAATGATCCACCACCCAAATAGTACCTGCTCTGTGAGGGTCCATGGGGGTCCTTAACCACTGAAGAACAGGGTAAAAGGGGGCTAACAAAGTATGCAGAGAAACAGATGGACTACAGTCTGTAACTGTAGAACTACAAAGTGCACCTATATAGTAAGTGGAGCTGATAATGACAATGAGTGTAGAATCAAGGAGGTTGACTGGTGTGTATAATAGCTTGTTTTTGGGTCTGAAATGAACATTAATTAGTAACTAAACGTTTCTGAATGAAATCTTTCTTAATAAAGAGTAAAATCCCTTCCTCACAAATAAAAGTGAACAGAACGTTAGCACGTCGTTTAGAACGCATCAGTGCGCTCGGTTTTATTTCTATGCACTTGTTTTTTTCCGCTCGTACTCTGAGAAGCCCCGCCTCCTGTCCGTGGGATTGGCTGGGAGTGCCTCGGCGGACCGCTTCTGAGTCTGAAACACTAGCCAATCGTGGCGCAGGAGGGCGGGGCTTTGCGAGAGAGCGAGAGGAAAAAAAGCAGCGCAGCCCATTCCCACACACGGAGCGCGTACCTGAGTGTCATTCCGAGCAAGAAAGCAGAGCCTAGCAGAGTCCCCCATCACTCTGTACAGACCACCCTGCGCTCACACCTAACACAGTGATAAGAAGAAGCCGGAGTAATTAGTACAATGTAAACGCGTTGCTTTGCTTGTGTTCATCGATCCGTTTTTGGCCCCCTTACCCCCCCCCCCAAAAAAAAGACAAAAAGAAAAAATATTACTTTTGCTGGATTCGTGCACGCGCCTGGAGAGCTCTCAACACCTGCGAGAACTATGTGAAGGTAACTGAAAGACTTCAGCCTTTGTGCTTCTCTAAATGTACTGTGTGCGTGTCTTGCGTTTGGTGATGACTGTTGTTTATTTATTTATTTATTTATTTACTGATGCATTCTGCTTCGGCTAAGTGGATATAAACATTTTGTGGAACTTTTAAATGGACATTTGACTTCCATACATTCAGTTTCCGTGATTTGCTTGCTTTATTTATTATTTGTTTGTTTATTTCTTTATTTATTTTTCCATCAGCCGCCTCTGTGTCCAGCGTATTCTTGTTTTTCTTCTGATCCTACTTGTTTTCGTCCTTTTCTTCATCATATTCTTGCATCTTGTTGTTGTTGGTATTATTATTATTAGTAGTATTGTTGTGAATCATTTTCCTGAGGTTATTGATTTGTTTATGCATTTATATTTACATTTGTCTGGATCAAAAAATGAATGCAAACCCTAAAATCTACAGGGAAAAATGTTGTTTTTGATTTTTTTAAGGTCTTGGTTTGCCTGAAACAACATATTCAGACAGGTTGTAAAATTCAGCTCTTTTAGCGAAGGGGTTGGGGAGGTTTGTATGAGATCCATTTGTGTGACATCCGTGGCCCTAATCAACAGTTAATATGATCAAATTAACGACAGGTAATTGTCTAAAGTAATTCACTGTTAACGTGTAAAATGTCACTTAAAGCCACTGAAACCCGCTTGGCCTGATAAACCAACGCTGGTGACTCAAGGCGTATGTCTGCTGTCTCATTACTCAACAAGCTGCATCTCATTTTCCTGGCTAACAGCTGGTTAACAGAGTCCCAAGTGTGTGGACCCCTCCTCTGATGGCCCCCCGCTAAAGAGGTTGCCCTTGATTGTTTCATTTTATGCTTAATTTGACATTTAATCATCTTCAATGTATCAGCGGGCCACATACCAAGCACCATTTCCTTCAAAGTTAATCTTGTCTAGTACTGCAAGAGTACTGGAAAGCGTGGGGTATAAATGTTTCTTGCATGTCTTGGTTCCTAATCATGAAAACAGCATGCATTCAAGGTTCAGTTGGTTCCATTGTTCACTCCGTGATGCGTTTTTCTTTCTTAATTTTTTTTATCAAACCCTCCTGAGGCTTTGTAATTATGCTCACAGTTTGATTAGGAGATCCCATTATACCACCCTAATTCATTGTCTAAAACATTCTCTCCATCTCATCCCAATAGATTTTGTGTGACACACCATCGGCCACAGCGTTCCCCTCTCAGAGGCAGACATGAAGTCTGTTCTGGATGGCGTGGCGGACACCACCTTCAGGACCATCACCTCGGGGCTCCAATACCTTGGGTCTAACGATGCCAGCTACGATGACCCCACTATCGATGCTGACTTTGTTAAGGGCGGATACTCGTTTCAGAAGCCTCCGTCTGCCTTTCGCAGCAACTCTTTCCCAGATAAAGTCGGTCCGAATGAGGAACTCATCCTCAAATCGATTCCGTTCTACCCCACCAATGGCACGGATCTGTTTGGGAACCGGACCCTGGTGGAGGAGGGGGACAACGTGCAGTGCGGTGAGAACTTCATGGACATGGAATGCTTCATGATACTGACCCCGAGCCAGCAGCTGGCCGTGGCGGTCATGTCTCTGACACTAGGCACCTTCACGGTGCTGGAAAACCTGGTGGTGCTATGTGTGATCCTGCAGTCCCGTACCCTGCGCTGCAGACCCTCCTACCACTTCATCGGCAGCCTGGCCGTGGCCGATCTGCTGGGCAGTGTGATCTTTGTCTACAGCTTCTTGGACTTTCACATCTTCCATCGCAAAGACAGTCCCAATATATTTCTCTTTAAGCTTGGAGGCGTCACAGCGTCCTTTACCGCTTCCGTTGGGAGTCTCTTCCTCACGGCCATCGATCGATATATCTCGATTCATCGGCCGCTGGCCTACAGGCGCATTGTGACGCGTACCAAGGCAGTGATTGCCTTCTGCATGATGTGGGCCATCTCCATCATCATCGCAGTGATCCCCCTGCTTGGCTGGAACTGCAGGCGCCTAAACACGGTGTGCTCAGATATCTTTCCACTAATTGACGAGAACTACCTGATGTTCTGGATCGGCGTGACCAGCATCCTTTTGATCTTTATCATCTACGCCTACATGTACATCCTGTGGAAGGCCCACCACCATGCTGTGCGGATGCTCAGTCGAACCTCGCAGAAAAGCCTGGTGGTCTACTCCGCGGACGGCACCAAGGTCCAGACCACCCGGCCCGAGCAAGCCCGAATGGATATCCGCCTCGCCAAGACGCTGGTCCTTATCCTGGTGGTCCTGGTGATCTGTTGGGGTCCTGTGCTGGCCATCATGGTCTATGACCTCTTCTGGAAGATGGATGATGATATCAAGACGGTGTTCGCCTTCTGCAGCATGCTCTGCTTGTTCAACTCCACGGTGAACCCCATCATCTACGCGCTGCGGAGTAAGGACCTGCGCCGGGCCTTCCTGGCCGCCTGCCAGGGCTGCAGGAGCAGCAGCAACACGCAGCAGCTGGACAACAGCTTGGAGTCGGACTGCCAGAACCGCAACCTGCAGATCCATGCCAACCGGGCGGCCGAGAGCTGCGTCAAGACCACTGTGAAAATAGCCAAAGTGACCATGTCCGTCTCCACCGACACCTCTGCCGAAGCCGTCTGACGGACCCAGGCAGCCTGGCTGCCCCGGTCATGGAACAAAAGGGGAAGGAATGATGAAGCCATGTGCTAAGCTTGCCGTGAGAGTGCGTCCAGTCATTTTTCAAATTCAACTGTGACTCAACTGTGTCCAAAAAGGGAATCGGATGTTTGAATGCTATGATGGACGAGAGGGTCCAGACCTGTCAGATGATGGGTACTAAAGTGCCAAAACGGTTCTCTGAAGTGAGGGCATCTTTCTCATCCATGGCATCAGTACTTGTGCTGGGATTCTTACTGTGTTCTTTGTGCCATTCTTATCAGTCATATCAACTGAAAATGTGTGGATGTTGTGAATGCTCTCATGAACGCTTATTCTATTTTTATACTTTGAAATCAGGTTTTTGAACAATTATACCTTCTCTCATGGGGAAAAGGGGCTATTGATCTTTTTAGTATGAAAAGTATGTATGTCGATTTGTAAATACGTGGTATTACACTGTACCATATACTATTCCATGCGGTCGTGCTCAAAGACAAGTGACTGTCTGGATCTTCTGTGCAAATGTTAGTAATGGTAGTGAATAATCAAGCACTGAACAATAGGGAACATTAATGTTATCCTCCAGAAAAACAACATGAAAAGTGTGAGTATTGACTTTGATATTGTTAATAATTGTGTTAAGTCTCAATTTCTGTGGTGTTGTTCTGAGCTCTTCTTCGAAGACTAGAGATATCCTAGCATTTGGCTTTGGGTCTCCTCACTCCTTTCTGACTGTTTTGGAGATTTTGCAAATGTACGGACTGTTCAGTAAGTTCAATAATTGTTTGGTTACTCTGCACAAACAATGCGATGGATGTGCCAGGCCATTGGACACAGGTCAAGCATAGTCCTGGATGAAGATAACGGCAATCTGCTGTTGAAAATACCCCAGAACTAGGCTTGATCTGTGTCTGGTAAACCGGTCACATAGATTACGTTGCACATCGAAAGAAGCACATGGCCTGCAGGACGGAAACGTCCTCTAGTTTTGAAACAGCCGAAGTGTAAATATTGCTATTCAGTAATCACAATCTTAAACTGTGATGTGATGTTCTTCTCCATCTTGTACTGGTGTGGTCAGTTCCTACTGTTACTGTCCTGAATGATTAGCATTTCTTATAATGCTGAAGGTTTGCATTCGGACTAGTCTGACCGGTCCATGAAAAGATAAAACACGCAATGTCTAGTGGGAGCTTGAGCTGCTTCTTTGGGTGAGGAAACTCAAAAGAATATGAAATCGCCTACTGACTAAGAATAAAATGTAATGCAATTGTACAATGTTTTGTGTATTGCGGTACAAATAGTGATGAAACTGATCCAAAACTGTTACGAATACGTTTTTTACCTCTGTTTCAGCAATGGCTAACAGCAAAACTTTGTTCATGTTGTGCTAAAATCAAAAAACTGTGGTGTGCTGGCTACACCTTTCTGAGATAAACGTATTAAAGTCAGTTCAACACTTCGGGCTGGTTTCTTATACCAATATTAAGCCGAGTCCTGGGGAAAAAAAAGGAATTTTCAGCCTAGAACGCACACAGTCATTACAATTTTGTGCAGACGAGGCTTAATACGTCTATGAGACCAGCCTGTTGCAAAACTGCATAAAAGAACTTCTTGAATATGTGTGGAATTGTGTTCGTGGTTCGTAGAATAACATATTGTATGTTTGCTTTTCTTAAGAAATGGACGACTCCCCAAAGCAGGGCTATCTGGGGTCAAATGGAATGGGTGTGGTTCACCTGTAAGGACTGCAGTCCTGTAGTTGCAGGTTAAGCCTAGTTATGGACTCTCCTAACGATGATACATTGAATAGCTTCTTTTTCCAAGCTTAACCCACAAAACAGTCTGCTAAGCTTTGTCTTTTCCTCTCTCTAAACGCTTTTGATTGGGTCGTGTGAACGAGTTGCACTGTGCATATCTACATTGTGGGCTGGTTTTGTAGACACATACGTAAGCCTAGTCTCAGTCAACAGGTGGATTCTCTCTTGAAAAACCTTAGACTAGGACTAGGCTTCTGTGGATGGAAAGCAGCCCTCTATTTTCTGTAAATCTGGATTTCAATGTGTTTAGTTCAGATTCTGAAGGAGTTCGACGCAGGAGATCTTTTTCAATAGTTAGTATTAGCTGAAGTTTGCCGTGATCTTAAACCTCGCTGTTTCCTCTCTGCCAGCAGTTGTAGCTGCTCATTCTGCTGTTGTTGTGCGTGGAGTGAAGACTAAAACACCACAAAACTGTCAAGTGGCTTCTGTCCCAAGGTGGCACATGACTCGATCGTCTGAAAATATTAAAGCTGAAATCAGTGGCGGCTTGTACTTTCTGTATCGCAGTGTAGTCTGTTCTAAGCTTTTGAATAAAGTCACAACTGACTATCAGACTTTACGTGGATTCCTTTATGCTGCATGATTATGTAGTCCAAGGTACAGTGTGATGCATAAATTAGCAAAACCTTCACTTCAAGTTGGTGGAGATGGGAGATACTATAAACGAGGGGTGCCCAATCCGGGTCCAGAAGATCTACCACTGCAGAATTTAGCTCCAAACCCAAATCAAAAATGCCTGATTCAGGAAGTGAAGGCCTTCAGAGGCATTTGAATATTAGTGCCAGGTGTGTTGGATCTGAAATCTCCAGGGTGGTAGATCTCCAGGACCAGGATTGAGCACCCCTGTTATAAACTGTTGATTTGTCCCCATCCTGGGACTGCCTTCCACAGTCTTCTGTTCTCCCCGTGAACCCACCACCACAAAGGGCTTGAAAAAGAACCAGATCTGGGTCTGAACAGTCGAATTGAACTTCCTTTCCTATCCACTCCTAGCTTTCCTTGATTTTGCCTGACCCTTAGCCCACGGCCTCTCTAAATGTTCAAGCAGCACTGACTAGTGTGTGGATCCACATGGTTAACAGATCAGGCAAAATCAAAGAAACACGATTTAAAAGGAAGTTTCATTCGTTTTTGGACACAGTCCCCGCTGTTAGGAGTCAAGTCTGCACGGAAGCACTCCTTCCCAACAAGTCTAGGCTCTTGTCTCCATCTTGTGGCCATTAATTGCATAAACATTAAACACAGGGCAAAGCTTACAATGGAGTGAAACAACTATTTAGACAATTTCTGGTAAATAATATACTTCCAGTACATATTTACTTCATTTACATATATAATGCCTTTTGACTTTGTCCTATAATTTTGAACAAAGCGTATGTTAAAAACTAAATTGATAGTGTTCAGACATTATAATAAAAACATATACATGTAAAGGATACACAACACTGAATCAAGTTCTAGATGTTAATGCTGCATAAAATGGCTTCTGGTGTCATTATAACAAAAAATATATTGCCATTGGTTGGCAACAAGTACTGAAGGAAGTGGAGGTGGAGGAGGAGGTTCCTAAAGTTCTCAGGAACAATATTAATAAACAACATATGTATGGAAAAAGATACAGAGCCACAGCAAAGACCTTAGATATGCCTGTCAGTAAAATTGGCTCAATTAATATGCAAGTGGAAAGTTCATGGAACCATCATTAGTCATCCCTGGACAGGTGTGCCTTAAAAGATTTCATCATGCACTCTCAGATTAATGATAAGGAAGGTAAGAGAAGCCAGCAGTCACTTGAAAAAGAGTTGCAGGATGAACTAAATGCAGCAGAACAACAGGTACACAAAACAAAAAGCAATGAACTGCACCCCAAAACTGCAATCACAATCCTGCACCCAATGCAGAACTCCTCTGCTATAAAAAGGAGCATATAAGTGTTTAGACAAATCAGACCTCTTTTGGAACAACTGACTGAGACAACAAAAATAGAATACTTTGGCAATAATTGAGCTCATGTCAAAAAAGGTTGCATGCAAAATCCCAAGCACACACTCATACACCACAGTGAAGTATGAGGGTGGGAGCATCGTGACATGGGCGCTGCTTCTCTGCAAATGGTAGAAGAGGCATTACATGTCATTAAAGGTAACATGAATGGAGTGATGTACTGGAACATATTTAAGGAGAATTTAATCTCATCGGCCAAGAAAAATAATCAGTGGACGACAAGACAAGTTCAAACATACAGCCAAAATATCTCAAAATCTTGGTTTCCTAAAACAAAAGGTGTTTGTGTGGTCTAGCCAATCTCTTGACTTGAATCCCACTGATAATTTACAGAAAATTTCCATCAGACTATCAGAGGGACCGTCGTAACCTTTCGGAATTGAAGACGGTCTGCCAAGATGAATGGAGCAACATTGAACCACAATGCTGCAAAAAGGTAATTTCTTGTTACTGTAAATGTCTCGAAGGAGTAACAAAGACGTCACAACAGAACAGAAAATACTAAGATAAATAAATACATCGTATTTACACAACAACCATAGTATATGTTTGATGAATGCAGGCACACTTCCAAAGAATTTTCACTTTATATGGGGGTATGGAGTTAAAGCCACCAAGAGGGTGATTGAAATAATATTAGGTATTAATTCTGTGACTCATAAGCCCAACTGAATTACTTTATGCTTCAGAAAAAGCCTTTGAGAACTATCTGTTCAGTTACTGTCAATTTACAGATGACGCTATAGCAGTTAAAATAAAGGGCTTGATAGTAGCTGAGTTGAATTGGTGTTTCCAAGGCGATCCCATGAGATTAAAGCCCAGTCGCAAAAGGTACTCCAAGTCCAGACTTTGGTGATGTCAACAATGTGCACACCCATAGGGCAAGAAACCTCGAAGGCTCTAGGTTGAAATGTGTGTATTTGCGGCAGACTTGTGCAACAGCTTGTATCATACCGGGCATATCAGTCATATTTGTTTTTTTTATTACTTAATTTACAGTCTAAATTCAGATTACAAGCATAATGCAGCATAATGACAAGTTAAATAAACAAACAACTCCACTCATATCTGAAAACCCTCCTCTTGGCCATGCTGGTCAGATAGCTGTAAACAAATCCTTCCACTTTGATTGGTCCTCACCTGCATTATAAGGAATTTTGGGCCACTGCTGAGTCCGCATCCATGTGGTCCTAGCTGAAGGTCACAGTCAAGGAGCATAGAGGGTGCTCCAAAACACCCCTGTGATCACTAAAATGAGGCATGGGACACCCTACAGCAGTGGCCATCAACCATCCTCCTGGGGATCCACCTTCCTGAAGGTTTCAATTCCAGCCCAAATCTATCACACCTCGTTCAGTCAATCAAGGACTTCTGAAGGCAACAATGAGATGCATCAAGTGGGGTCAATTAGAGTTGCAGCTAAAGTCAGGAGGAAGGAAGATGTCCATGAGCAGGTTTGGAGACCACTGCCCTGCGGTCTCGTGGTCCTCATATGCACTTGCAACTGTGGATCGCAGGACCACAAGTGCAACATTTGGTACTGGGCTTGATTGATGGCTCTATGGCCTCAAGAAGAGGGACTCCTTCAGTAACTACGCTACAGCTGAGCATGGTGAAAGAGACATTAAGAAAGGCTGAATGTGTCCTTCCATGCAAAATATTATTCAATTCATACCCAGGCACACAAATTCAACCTCAGCAATGTATAAACCCTTTATTCTGAGTGTGTACAAGCTAACAGACAAATACTATGGTCCTTCTCATGTGGCTAAATCAGACAGTATAACTCTAGTGGACAAAATTTAAACAATTAAAATGAAAATGTTGAGTTCCAAGCGTAAAAAATGTTGGCAAAGACATTTTGCTTATCAGAAGTCAGATGCGAGATCAGGTTTGAGATACGTTCATCATGAAAGCAACTATGCTGAACACAGGGTGAAATGTATCACTTACCTTCAAGATCTTCACAGTTTTGGAAGATGACATACTCTGTGGAAAAGCAAGAACAAGAGGTAATTTATCACTCTTAAGAAACGAAATCTAAGCTAGCAGACTTCTACAGCATAAATTGAGCTTGTGAGCTGCCCCCAAGGAAATTTAGCTGCACTTTTTTCCACATTTCTCTGCTTTCCCTCATCTAGCACACCTTATTCAACCCATTAAAGGGGACCGATTTTTCAGTATTTCTGCATAATTCAACCATTAAGATGTAAACAAAGTCATTCAGAGTGGTTTGTTGTGAAATGGTGCAATGCAGAAAAACTTTCTTACAAAGTTTTCTTACAATAGTGGTGTTAGGAACCTAAGGTCATGATGTCTGCAACACAAATATATTCATTTTATTCACTATTCATAACCACTAGTGAACCTATATGTATATTCTGAATCTATATATGTAATGTTGATGATGGTAAAAGTGGTAAATCTGAAAAAAAAAGCTTTCTTAGAGGACTATTATGGCTTAGAATGGCCTGCATGTACCTTTCTGCCGTGAATGGTTTTAGGCCAAAAGCTTATCACAATTCCATCATAAAACAATGTCTCAGATATTAAGCAGCAACCATCTCAAGCAATAACTTGTGTGAGGTAGATTTAATAGGCATTAAAGGCCTCAGGCGTCTGGTTCCTATCGCCACTGTGAACAATTCTGAGTTGGCAAGTTGCTCTAGAATGGAACATTTCCCATCAAACCACTCTGAATGACTGTTTACATCTCAATTATGAAAACGGTGAATGTGCAGAGCATGCGGATGAAGAACCAACCCCTGTGTTAACTTAAAAAGTGGCCTGATATTGGTATCCAGGAGGTCTATAAGAACAGTAAAGTGCTAAAATGTAGAGAACAACGATAATACAGGAGCAGGACTGGGCACCACAGGGCTTTACGGTACTTTTCCCCTTTTTTCCCCATTACCCCAGTCCTGTCCTGCCGTCCACCTGCACCACATAGTTTTGTTTTTGTACTCTAACAGACCTGTTTCAGCTCCAGACGGACTTAATCATCAGCTAATGATGCAACCTAGCTGCAAAAAACAGGTGGATTATAAACTTGAGCTGAGAAACACTAAACTAAAAGAACAAAGGTAACAGCCGAGCCTCACTAACCACGTGACCACGTGCTACAGCTAAACTAGTTTAAGAACTACAACCAGCTTAAGGCATTAAAATGATGTTTAACAACTCATCCAGCATATCTGTACTTACTTGTAAATACATTTCAGTTACAGAAGGGTCAAATATAACAAACACGTCCACGCTAAATGCTAAGAAACTAGAGACAAACAGGACTGGACACTGAAGATGGCCGGATCGATACAGATCAGTAAGTCAGGTCCTGATGTTTGCTTTTGAGAATCAATACTCACATTAAATGCCAACACTGAGAGTTTCCCTGTAGACAAGCAGCAAAGGAAACTGCTCAGCCTTGTGCTACCCTATATGAACCACAGGAGGGGGTAACACAGGAGGACATACGAGAAGGGTAGACAAACACACACAGGCCCACCCTCCTCGGACACAACTCAATAAACAACAACTACACTAATAACAACTACACTATAATAGCTACTCTAATAACAACAACAACAACAGCCATAACAAAATGTCCTTTTTTAGTCTGTCAGTAAATTCTCTGAGAGCCCCTTTTCAGGGATACACCCCCTAAGCTCTGAACACAGCACAGAGCCTGTGGCAGATGCCACACAGCACCCTCCCAAGGCGACCCACAAAGTCTGAACAAAGTTTCCACTGTCCCGGCCAGCACAAGTGACGCAGGGTGTCCGCCCCCAGCAGCAGGTGTTCCTATTTTTCTTTCGGAGCACAGCAAATCTTCAGTGCACCCTGCTTGGTCCCCCTCTGACCCTGGTGAGCAGCTGAACACCAACTCCGTGGGCATCCTCTCCTTCAGGGTGCTGGAGTGGAAGGACTAAGTGGGGCATGCAACTGCTGAGGCCTTTTCTTTGCCATGCACTTGTCACAGCAATGCACGTACAGCTGCACTTTTGTGAAAAAGCCTGGCCAGCAGATCCTCTGCTGCAGCCACTTCAGCATTTTACCCAAACGAATGTACCCCACACCAGTCACTGCATGCACCACACCCAGCGCCATCTTCCTCGGGCTGCACAGCACCAGCAGCTACCACACACAGTTCTCAGGTACTAACTCTTCGCACAAGGCATAGCATCTCTTTGTGCTCCAGCCAGAATGAAGCACCTTAGCGGTGGGCCCATGTGGTGTCCTGTCTGCCCAATCTGGTGTCTGTATCACCTGGAGCCATTTGTGTGCGGCAGAACTCTTCACAGCTCACAGCTTTAAGTCCGGTGCACCTGGGGGTGACAACAGCAGCAGCGGCGCTGCTCTCAGCCACCTTCTGTTTTCACGCTGTCCACTGGATCAACAGTGCCAGCAGGGGTGCTGCTTCTGTGCGCCGACCATGCCCCTAAGGGCTCTACCAACCAGCACTGCTGCTACATGTTCCACTCCTCCTACATTGGTGGCTTTACCTGCAAAAAGCTGCAGTGTCCTTGACCTTACAGCGCGCCCCGCCCCTGGAGATTCACCAACCGGCTCTGACATGTTCAATTCTTCGCAAGCCAATGGCTTCCCCAACAGGGAACAAAGGTCATATTACCAGAGAGCACCGACTCTCTGCTTTGGCTCCATAGCCACCGCAGCCAGCTTCACTTGTCCCATCTCCAAGCCCAGCATTTCCTTCCTGAGGTCGAGCACGACCCCAGCTGCCATGCCATGCATCCTGTATAGGCATGAGCCAGAACTTGCGCACTCAGTTCAGGCACCCCACCACAACCAGAAGCCGCTTCCTCTGTCTCATGTCAACTCGGCTGCCTGTGATGAACTTGACTTGGGTGGTCGTTGCTTCCCAGTTGGCAGGTGTGCTGCTTTTGGTGCACGGAAGCACACCTGGTCTTAGCAATAACACCAATGAGCCCATGTCAATAAGGCTAGTGAATTTGTTCTCTTCTATGCTGGCCTTGATCCAAAGTCTGCAGCAGCAGCTGATTTCCCCCCTCTTGTGCCCCCTCTTTCTAAACCTCCAGCACACTCGTTGCTCCTCCGTCTCTCACTCAGGGGCCACTTGGCACAACATCTCCTCCTCAAGCCTTTCTGCCACATAGCATTGTGTTGCTTGCTGCAGCCTCACTATGCCTAGGATGAGTTCTGCCCGCTGCCTTCTCTGCCTCAGCGACAGCTGCTTGAAGGCTGGCTGGTGGGAAAAGCTGCATGTGCCATCTCAGTTCCTCTGGCACCAGCGTGTTTAGGAAGAGTTCCAGCACCAACTCTTCCTGTGCAGCTCTCTCAAACCACTCTCCCTTAAGCCTCGGCCTCTCCGGAAGCAGCCGCCTGACTGATCAGCACCTGACCAAAGCATCACTGGAGGGCCGTACTCAATGACACTAGGTAGTCACGCTGTTCCAGCGCCAGATCCACAAGCACCTGTAGAGCTTTCCCCTCCAGTGCCAGACAGCTGCGACGCAGTGATGGCTGCAGTCCAGCTGTGATGTCGGGTGACAACGTGCAGCAGTGTGCAAGTTCAAACTGGGTATGCATGCAAGCGTGGGCCAGGGGTCCTCATCATTGAAGCGTGTATGCATCGCATCTTGCTCCACATACATAAAGCGTTGTGTATACATTCCAAAAAAAAACAGAGAAATCATTTGGTTTTAGTTTTCAGTGTGAGCATGTTCATCAGAATAATCTCTTGGTGTCAGGCTGCTTGATATGGGATCAGAAACTGTTGAAAACTGCTTAAGTACGTCCTTCAGTGCAGCTCAGGAGAATCTCTGGCTTATGCCTCCCCCTGCTGTCTGAAAGCGGCATTGCAGCCACAATATCTCACACGTGCGGATGTACGTTCTGTATTTTTTTCTTTTTTTAAATGTGTATATTGTTAATGATAACTCACCGATAACGTGTACACCATTATTACAAATTCATTTGAATTTTTATAGAGCTTTGAAATGCGCCATGAGAAGGACTATCACTCTTCAAAATAAGAGTCTGTATGAGTGAATATCATTATGAATAGTGATTTTCAGTGCTAAATACGTTCTTACATCGCTAGAAAATTTATTTAAAAATGTAGCATTTTGATCGTTTTATATTTTTGTGGTACCAAAAGGAGAAAGACTCTTATGAGATATTTTAGAATAGTGACTTTTACTTTAAAATTTCGTCTTGCGTTTTTAATCCGCTAGGGAAATAAATAGTTTGACACCTGTCTGAACTGAACTGTTGACATGTTCAGCAGAGTCTCAGCGACGATGTAGAAATGAAGCACTTTGCCGTCGGTTTTTGCTGATTTACTCTAAACTGCTGTTGCAGCCGCGGCTCCTGTTGAGGTAAAGTAACTTCGGCTAAAGACGAATTATGTGGATAAATGAGTAGCAAGCTAAGGCTAACTAATTAGCTAAGTTAGTCTAATTACCAGCTAGACAGGGAGGACATGAACTACAACGAGCTGTTTTTGTAGCCTGTAAGTTATTTGTGCCTTAACCAGTTAGTTACATGTTTATTAACACTCAGAGGGATTATGTGTTTGTAGTTGGGTAGTTGTTAGCTTAGCATGCTAGCTAGTAGTTTGCCAACAAGCTGGAGAGAACGTCAGCTGACTGACATTTCTCCACACGGCTTGTCTGTGTTTGTACAGCACTTCCAAAAACTGAAAATGATTCAACTTTTATAAAACACACATTTCCTATCCTTTAAAATCCTAAAAACGTACGTTTTAGCATTTTTAAGCGTTAGACTGTTGACGAAGCTAAAGTCCGCTTCTTATTCGCCAGTTTCTTGTTCTAATTTTCCCGTTCCACCTTAAATGGCCCAGCAGAGACGTTCCGCCGAGGCGCCGGGATGTCGGTGTTGGACCATTTAAGGTGGAACGGGAAAATTCGAACAAGAAGCTAGCATGCCGACTTTAGCCTCGTAGACTTTTATACATATGTGTTTGTTTGTTGGAAGAAGGATGAAGGTTACACGTTACTAACAAGCCTGAAAAGGCTAACCCAGTGATACAGTAACTGGACTGTACTAGAATTCTTTAGTTCTGTAATCAGTTAATGTTCCTGATGAAAACTTATTTGTTTCTTTGGCAGATCCCAGATGGCAGATGTTAGAACATTATTGGAGTCCCTCAGGAGAGGGTTTAAGATTGACATGCTTAGGGAAGTTGTCCGGCAGTATCCTGTCATATGCTTTTTGCTGATGTCCATGCTGTCTTCGACCATCATTCTCAACAGGTGAGTAGCGTCCTCTAACATCAGACAGACAAAATGAAAGACTGCATTTGAAAAGGCTGCACGCTCAAAAGGCCAAAGGCGTTCCATGTTAGAACAGACGCTCCTTAAGATCTCACTATTTTTCTTCAATGCTTACATGTTTCTGAAATTTTTAATTAAATAAATGATACTTCGCCCAATTTATGTGATCAGGAGCCTTTATCGTTGGACCTAGGGCTGCAACTATTGAATATTTTCGTTTTCAAATATTCTATTGAATATTATCTAAGAGAAATATTATTCTGAAAGAAAAAGGAAACCTAAAAACATCTGTTTTGCTTTAATGATAACATGATTTTTTTTATCTTACCTTTACGTATTTGTATTGTTATTATTACGTTATTATAGGTTTATCATCAATTAATCAAACTTAAAAATACTATTATTTAATGAAAAACATAACTTATAAACAAATATGGTCATAGCAACTAGCATAAAACCTATTCTGAGAGATTCTGCCCAATCTGGCAAAAGCTGATTTAGGGAGGTGTATCCCTGTTAGTGACAGATGAGACCAAACGTACCAAATAGGACCCAGATGTGGCCCTGAGAGAGGAGTGACTCACTGGCTAAACACTATTAGCTTCATGAACATTTTTTTTCATAAACAGAGTTTTTTTTCACTCTGCCTGCTCCTGAGTAAACACGCTCTTTTTGTTGTGTTGGGTTTGGTAGTGTCTTAAGTACTTGGCTGCATTGGGTTATAGATTATTAAGGCTGTAAGTGTAAAGAGACCTCAGTGGTGGTCTCTATGTATTTCTCTGTGTATTTCTCATCTGTGTATTTCTCAGTCTCTGGTGGGGGAATTTGAACCATTCTTGCATGATTTGTTTTCAGATAGCCTAAATATTTGAACTGAATATGTCAGAACACCAGTGAATCATCAGGTTTTGTTTTAGACAATGGCTGGAGCCAAACTCTACAGAGTGAACAGATCTGTTTAGGATATAAGATATTAGGATCAAACTGTATATGGACTGAAAAATGTAAAGCTCAGTTGCTAAGTATTGAAGTGTGCATGTTTCTCTATGTCACTCTTTTAGGTATCTGCATGTTCTGATGATATTTTGGTCCTTCCTGGCTGGAGCAATCACCTTCTACTGTTCGCTTAGTCCAGACCAACTGGTGCCCAGTGTCCTCTTTTCTATAAAGACCAGGAACAAAGTAAGATCATGAATTTATCAGTTCTTCTACACTATGGCGAAATGATGAAGATACTGACTTGTTTTCTTGTTTGTGTGTATGTGCAGCGGCAGGAGCAGCAGGAGCTCTTTCCACAGGGCCACAACTGTGCAGTCTGTGGGAAAAACAAGTGCACTCGACACAGGTAGAGTACTGTATGATTTTCCGACCGCAGGACTAAGGTGACCTTTAGACCTTTGTGACTTTTTGTATTAGGTTTTAAGACTGTTGTTGTGTTTTTGAAGAACCAGAAGATTCTACCAAAAGATATAAGGTGGTTTGCTCTCTCTGTATTTCATAGATCAACTCTTCTTCTGGAAAACTACCAGCCATGGTTAGGTTTGAAAGTGCATTCAAAGGTGGACACATCCATTGGAGAGGTAGAGTGTATTTATAGATGTTTCCTAATTCGATTGAATGACCAATTCTAAAGTTGCTAACAATCCTGTTTTCATTTGTCTTCAGGTGCTGGAGTTAGTGCTGGAGAACTTTGTGTATCCTTGGTACAGGTATGGCTGATACTGCTGAATGCTGAATACCTTGTTTTTGGAACTGTTGTTCAAAAGCTCAGCCAACGTCAAGGGGAATTCCACCGAAGTTTCAAAATTTCTGCATAATTTGACAGACAGACTTGGCAGCAAACTCTGTGCAAAGCCAGAATTGTTCACAGTGGTGGTGACAGGAAGCATTTAATATGTGTAGAAGCTACGTCACAGGCAGATTCAAAAATATTTTTATTTTTATTCAAAAATAGCCAAGGGTAGTTGGTTGTTTTCGGTTTGAAAGAGAAACAGTGACTACCTAAAATTACAGCTAACTGGTACAACACTGGATGCTCGTCGTCTTGAACAAGATATTTTCTACACAGTGGACAAAGTGCTAAAATGTTCATTTGTCGGAGAAATTATATTCCCCTGTTTCTAGAACCAGCTAAAATCAGCTAGTAGTTAGCCTAGTTAGTGATAAAGCCATGCTACATCTGCCTTCTTAATCACGTCCTTAACAAAACATGCTTGGCCACGTGCTCACAGTCACGTTCAGTGGTACAATGTAATGAACATTTCTCTGTAATGAACGTTTCTCTGTAACCTATTCACACCTTTCTGAATGACTTTGTTTACGTCTTAATGATTGAATCTTGACATTTAAAAAAATGCTGAAAATCCATTTTGATACCAGGCAAATAATTAATAGCTAGTTTTATATTCACTAAATTGCATTTATGTTCAATTTGTATTCTTTGTGGACAGATTTGAGCCTGACAATCATGTCAAAAATGTAAAAAAATTTTCTGACTCTGTGCACAACAGTAACTTTCCATCAAATTCAAATCACAAGAAAACATCTCCTCTTCTACATACAAACATAAATGTGGGTTTAAAGTTTAGAATCTATACGTACTTCCGAACGAATATCTCCACTTGTTTCTGTAAATAATTAAACAAAATATAAAAAGAGGCATTTCAGTGTGGGGTGTAGGAAGGTTAAGTGGCTGCAAAGACCTCTGTGAAACTTTGATGGCTTATGTTGTAAAGACCTTGTATTTAGGTTTTTTATCTGTATTTTTGTTCAGGGATATTACAGATGACGAGGCCTGTGTGGATGAAGTGAGGCAGACGTTCCGTTTTTTTGCTTCGGTTCTAGTTCGCCGAGCCCAAAAGGTAAGCAGCAACATATGAGGTCATGGGAAATGTTGGGTTTGATATCATACACCTTGATGCATTGAGTGCAGGGATTGACGTTTGAGCTTTTTTTTCTCGTGACTTGTCCTGTGGACAAGAAAACCCGTGTTTTACTTGTTTGAAGTGTCACAACAGCACTTGCAGATGACCAACACAAACTGTGCAGCAACAGTTGAGCTATTGACTCTGATTTTACATCTACAAGGTGGCCCAACAACTATTAGACACACCTTGTATTAGGCCCTACAAGGTGTGCCTAATAGAGTGGACAATGAGTGGACACAGTGTTTAAAAACTCAGACAGCACTGCTGTGTCTGATCCACTTATACTAGCGCAATGCACACTAACACACCACCACCACGTCAGTGTCACTGCTTGGCTCAGACTGATCCACCACCCAAACAATACCTGCTCTGTGGTGGTCCTGTGGGGGTCCTGACCATTGGATAACAGGGTGAAAGAGGGCTAACAAAGTATGCAGAGAAACAGATGATCTACAGCCTGTAATTCTAGAGCTACAAAGTGCTCCTATATGTAAGAGGAGCTGATAAAATGGACTGTCAGGTGTACTTAATGATTTGGCTGGTAGGTGTGTGTATGTGTATAAATATATATATATATATATATATATATATATATATATATATATATATGGTTAAGTTTAACACAGTTAAAAAAAACAAAGTCTGGGTGTGTTCTAGGTACAAGCAAACAGGTGTTCATGTGGGCTCTGCGATGTGTCTGAGGCTTCTGAACATCATGCTTTCTCATTTTAGGTGGACGTGCCATCAGTCGCCACCGGCAAAATGATGAAGGCAGCCATGAAGCACATAGAGATTGTTGCTAAAGCTCAGCAGAAAGGTTTGCCATTTGTAAATGTAAATCAAAACATATGATTCATTTTGGAAGGTGGTGTTGATATAAGGGGCAGATGGTTTTGGTCTGGCAGCAAGAATGTTACTAATTTATTTTGTGTTGTGTGTGCACAGTGAGAAACCCTGAAGGGCTGCAGCAGGCTGCGCTGGAGGAGTACGGTGCAGATCTACACGTGGCTTTGCGCAGTCGCAGAGATGAGCTCAACTACTTGAGGAAACTGACTGAGATGCTCTTCCCTTACGTCATGCCTCCGAAAGCTACCGACTGCAGGTGCAGAGAACACACACACATACACACACACACATACTAGGGAACAGTTGAATTTTCGAATAGCCACAAAGGTGTGATATAAATGAGCTTCTTTCAAGCCTTGCATTCTTTTATTGAAGAAACATGAAGAAGACAGTGGGTAGTGCAAATGTTTGGGTGCCCTGATTACAGTCCATATTTTGTTGATTGATTACAGTCCAATTTGTTAAGTGAAACATAAGTACACCTAAGTAAAACACACCAGATACTTCCTGTGCAAATGTTATGGCTCATTTTGTATCTTATATTTTTTACCAAGATGTTAAACTCAGCAAAAAATAGAAATAGTGCATTAAAATTTGCATGGTATATTATATAAAAGAGGCATATTATATGGGACGTGTTTGTTCTCTGTAGAGGATGTCTATCTTATTCTCACATAGAAGATCAGCAAACCGCATAATTTGAACAGGAGTGTTCAAACTTTAACAAAAGCCTGTAGATACACACAACACTCCAGTAACTTCAGAAAATCAGATTTTGGCAATAATTTATTCAACACATTTACAAGCACTTCAGTTATCTGTTAATGAGAAAACCCCAGGTCACACAGTAGTCAGATTTCTTTCTGAATACATAACGTGGACCTCTATTTTTACTTTACACTTTACTAATAAACTCAAAGTGCAGCATTTGATGTCAAATTTTAAAATATTTAAACTTCTTGGCAAAGTTTTCTTTTTACATGGAGTCCCTTTATTTTTAAATAATTATTTGAGAATTTTATATGGTTTGAAATTCCACACAATGCAGTTTGTCATTTGTTGACATTTTGTGGTTGTAGCATTAAAATTAGTGTTTACCGTTTACTGTTCCTTAAGCCTTATTCAGTCTCCTCAGTGATAAAACTCTCGCATTCAAACAGCATTAAAATGAAAGCAGTATGAGTGAGATTCTATAGTACACTGTGTTTCATTTTATATAAGAATTTAATGTTACATATGTGAGGAACTGACAGTGATACAACTAGTCATTATTATTAGAGGACATTCTAAAAAAATCCTAAAACGTTTATGATATTGTGCATATATGAATATAAAGTAGTGTTTATATCTGTGGCTGCCATTATAATCGCCACTTTAATGAGCCTGTCTTGCTTTTCTGACCTGGATGACAATAAAATCAGCAAGGAGCCTCAATAAAAGAGGACTCCATGTAAATTTAACTGTTTCCCAATAAGGCTTCAATGTTTTTTAGTGTTTACTCTTCTCTGTTTCTGTTTCTGCACATGCACAGTAGAAGAACTGAATAAATCAGATAAATGACATACATGTGCTGAAAAACCTGATTACAAAGCTGAAATCCAGGTCTCTTTTAGATGTATTTGAACGAGATAACTGCATTAATATGATAGTTTCATGATTACTTGAATGTTTGATTAACTTTAAAAATCAGATAATGGTTATATCATTGATGTGAATGCAAAAAGACAACTAGAACAACCTCTGCAATGGTCAAAAGGCTCCCGCACACCAGACGAGAAGTGCAGTGCGGGCGTATGTAGCAGACAGTACAGGGTGCAACTATACCAGAAAGGAAATGTTGCAAGAAAACACTGATAAACATCAAGCTCAAGCTCATTTTACACTTTACTCCTTCAGCATGGTTTAGTGAATTTGTCACATTTTGTATAAGTCACGTAACTCTTCACAAATGTTATGTCTTTTTAATAATGACTTATAAGATCAAATATCAAATATTGGCTCAAATGTCCACCCCCAACAATCACACCCATACATTCATAAGCACCCTACATCAAAGGCTGCTGAATGTACACAACCATTCAAAGAATTCTATAATAATGGGCTCATTATTAATTGTTATTCAATAATAACTTATAGAGTGCAGGTTGAAATGTTATAAACTGGACACCAAAATGTGAACTGATGGTTTATTTAAAGTATTTTGAGAACAATAAGATACTATGACATGGTAAAAAAATAGCAAAGGTTAAACAATAATAAACTGTAACTGTCTTTTTAAAGTAACTTCTAAGATATAAATTAATATATGTCCTTACTTGATCAGTGGGGTTTGATCAGTGCTTTTAATTCATTCTCAAGTCCATTCTCAGATTTCTTCTGATCATGATCCAAAGATTGGACCACATATAATCTCAACACACTTACTGAATGGATATTCTGATGACCACATTCCTGAAATGTATTCCCCTGAAAACTTTTTGTTGATCTAATTTTTTTTGTCATTGCAAGATAGTGATCTGTGCATTTATGACAGAATGACATTCACTCCTGATCTATTCAGCTATGTCAAAAATCATTTACTCTTAAAATGAAATGTTAAACATGAAAGCATACACACAGTGTTATATACTGTTGTCTTGTTTAAATTGTTGTTGTTAATGTAAATGTTGTAAATAAAAATAATAAGTAAAATAACTTGCATGTTGTCATTATATAGTTAATATGTTAACAAACTTTTAAATGTTTCAATTTGGACAGGCTTTAATTTTGTTTTAAAATAGAATATTTTTAATGCCATGCTTAGATTAATAACAGCACTTTTTAAAAATGTGCTGTTATCCAAAATGTAAATTATACATTCTGTAAAATGTAGATGACAAACAGGTGATTCGCCAGTGGGGCTTCTTACCCCTGCTGGGGGGGCAACTTGTTGTTAAATGATTAAGTGTAATTAAATGATGTTCCAGTTTCTCTTCAGTAGTAAGGCACTCATACAACTATTTATAATTTCAGAAGTTACATTAGGTGGCACTGTGTTTCTTCTAAGATCAGCTGAACTTGCATATGAAGCGTAAATATGAGAAACCTGCACTGAAACAACCACAGATTGTTTGTGACATCGAGTTGGTGGCAGTCTTGCAATGTCAAGTGTTAGCTTTTGCAGCAGACAGCAGCTTCACTTTTTGTAACTGGACATAATTATTAGAAAAGAGGTTTTGCACTTTCCTGATAATCAAGTATTGCATATGAGAAAACCAGAGAAGAGTTAAACTTTTTGTTTTTTATATCATTTTTGTTTGAAAGCATATGCTATGTCTTACAAAGGTCAGTGACCACCTTTCATTTATTTCATTTCCAGGCCAAAAGGCCACAAAGTGCACATTTTCAACATCATAAAAAAGCAGAAAACGTGTAAAAGAAAATCACACAGAGGCCTGAAAAACTTAATATAACGTCATGTTTCAGTTTTTATTTTGTCCACCCTTTATAACCACTTCTGTTCTTTTCTAGTCTCGCTTTCAGTTTTTCAGAGAAATCTGCAGAGATATTTTTTTTCACACATCTCCAAAGATCAGTCTTAGAATTCGGTTGCATTTCCTGGTTCTCACGATCCAAGTAATCACAAACACATTCAGTCATATTGATGTCTGGGGTGGTTAGTCCGTTTTTCGGATAACACTAGTAGCTTTTTTGGTTGGTTTAAAAAATGTCCTTACTTTCTCCAATATCTAAAAGATGAAAGGGCTGTTTATCTGATGGTGACAGTTTTTGGTGGTCTACCAGGTCTTGCGTGGTTCTAAGTGATCTTATTTTCTCTACAATTTTTAAATCATTTTTAGAACTTCAGTTTTGAAAACTCCTCTTTTTTACACTTATTTTCTTTTAAATTCCCCTTCCTTATGCAAGTGGATTAGTTATTCTCCTCAGATTAGTGAATATCTAATCTCCACAATAATAACTCTGGAAAAATGAATGACTTGCACTTAATGGCTGTTTTTATTGGAAATTAAATGGCTTTTGTACAGTGCTGTATACTTTCTACTAAAGTGTATCTCTGTGCTTTTAGTTTTTTAAGTCTTTTAACTGCTGTTTGTGGGTGCCTACTTTTAACACATTTTGAAGCTGCATGTTTTAAACACTTCAACAGTTATTCTCACACCCACAGTTCCTAGCTAACTGAGTGTCTGTTATCAAGTTTCTTACTGTCATCAGCTGTCTAATGAGAACAGTACAAAATAGTGTTGCAATGAAAGTTCAGGCACATGTTTGTTCACAGTTGATTTGTGTTTGAGAAGAGCATCTGTTTTCACGAGTTGACATCTACTGGTGTTCATTTACATGTTTTCATCAGGTCCCTGGCCCTGCTGATTCGAGAGGTCATGACTGGCTCAGTGTTTCTCCCAACCATGGACTTCATGGCTGACCCTGTATGTAAACAACACCTCTGCTAGACTGCAAGTCTCACTTAGTCAGCACACAAAGCCATTGAGAATGACTCAGAGGCAGTCCTTCCACCTGACAGTGGTGATATAACAACAGCTCTGTTTGTAACCTTTTCTGTTTATGCCAATATTGAGGTAAATTACCTGTAAAAAAACTAATAGGAAAGTCAGACTTGTTAGTGTAATCCAAATATACCATACCATGTACAACTGCCTTGCTTTTACGGAAATTGTCCATTTTATCAGGTCTACTTACACAATTACAATTACAGATTGTGGTCCAGAAATGCACAAAAATATACAAAGCAGAGGTGGCATTTCACTGCAGCACGACAATAACGCACAAACAAAACTAAAGCAACCCAGTTTCAACACATTTTCTGCTCTCGCTGATAGAAGGCAAATGCTTATAACTAGCCAACCTAATGTCAGCCCAGTAAAGGTAATGTTAGGCTACGTGTTAGAAAACAGAACATCTCATAGTAAAGAAGAAAGTGTCAGTGATGTTAAGTACAGTCTAATAAAATGTATGCTATATTGAGATAGCTGTTCAGGCTCAAGAATAATGCTGTTCAGTTAAAAATAATACATGGGACAAAGTTATATCTATTTTAGAATGCGCTTTTCATTGGCAAAGTTGCATGTATAACTCTGAAAATCTGTAAAACACACAGTCTAGACTTTGGGCAGAGACTTTTGAAATGGTATAGAAAACAAACAAATGGATCCTCGACCAAATTAAGCCTCTCCTCTCGCTTGGCCCACGTGACCAAACTGCTTTGGGGACATTCTCAGAATCGATTAATTGAAAATGACCACAATGCTTGGTACAGTTGAGGGTAAAAGGATGGATGAAAGTAGTTGGATGATCAGCAAAAAGAGCAATAGATACAATCAGAGCAATCATAAACAAGCCATTCAGAAGCCTAAAGACCTAAACAGAAGACAGGATATTCTGGAGAAACATTGACCATATGATCGCCAGGACTCAGAATCAATTCAGAATCAGAGTCCGATGGCACTTATAATCATAATAATACATAATAATATTAAAAATGTACAATTTAGCTTGGCAAACCTTACATAGATTCTGAAGAACAGTGTATGCTGTGATATTAGATAACTCTAAATGACTTAAGCCAGTCAATAGGGTTATTGTCTTCCGCACAGTAAGATGGTCATCTGCTTTATTTGAAGTAATGATTCAGAGAAAAATCTAATTTGCACAATTTTCCACTTACTCCAGATGTAGTTGATCAGCCAAGACATAGTTGGTGTCCAGATTTTTCTTCTTCAATTTTGTGCTGGACCTCTGAGGCTAATGTTGTTAACAAACAATAAAAGCCAGTAGTCACCCAGTCACCCATTACATACCCAAAAGTCTCTCAACCCACTCAAACCAAAAAGTCTTTGTCATGGTCAGACAGACTTCTTGATGTGGCTTAGGACACAGTATGACTCACTGTGAACTATAAAAACAAATAAAACTTCACCTTTTAGCTGAACAAAGTGGGCAGCCATTTTAGACAACAAGGGTGCTGAATTCCAACTCTCCTTCGCATGCATGCATGTCATGCTGGCATATGGATGCTAGATTGGATTTGGGTTTTCTGTTGTTTCTGTTTTTGAACAAATATTTCCAGTTTAAAATTTATTTATGTGCAGAAATAACTGCAATTATAAATGTAATCTGTAGTCCTTGTGCCTATGTGACGTCATGCACACAAAGGGGAGCCAGAATTCGGCAATAAAATCTAAAATGGCTAACCATGATGTTCAGCTACACAGTGCATTGTGAAGTTTTGAAGTTTTGTAGTTTTATATATATTTTATAGTTGTACTGTACGTTAAATCACACCAACAAGCCTGTGCAACCTTAATGAAGAGCTGCATGCGCTTGAGAAAGAGAAGTTTTGGGCAAGTGTTTTACAAAAAGATTTGGGTGACTATTGACTTCTAGTGTTTTTTAGCAATGTTAGCCTCATGGCTTCAGTTTGTAACCTGAAGAGTAAAATTTGGACTGCAATATGTCTCAGCTGATCGACTAGATCTGGGGTAAGTGGAAACCTGTTGGTATTTGTAATGTGAATAAAAGTAGATTAGATTTTTTCCTCCAGTCATTTAAGGCAAATGGACACTGTATGTGTTTTGCTAGTAAATCTTTTATTTTGTTAGTTTGGTGTATTTTATGTCACACTTTACAGTCACGTGTAGAAATTTTGAAAATCAGGATGATTTTGGATGCAGCTGTCTGATTGATTCTGTTTCCCCACTTCCTTCTCAGGACACTGTCAACCACATGGTGCTCATATTCATCGATGACACTCCTGTAAGTGATTCCACTGGACACTAATACTTGCTGATTTAACTGATTTAAAAACTTGGTTTTAAAGAAAATATGTGGAAGTAAGTAAAAGAAGTAGTTTTCCTGCTTGCATTTACTGCTCTGTCCATTGTAAGGATCAGTCAGTCAGTTGGTACTTAAACAGTGAGTAATCTGAGCTTTTTTTGCTGTCTGTTGTTACTTCTTCATTAGCCTGAGCCAGCGACTGAGCCTCCGTCTGCGTTGGTGCCCTTCCTGCAGAAATATGCTGACTCTCGCAACAAGAAGCCTTCTGTAAGATCAGCTGCAAAGCTGGCAAAAAAAAATTAACAAAAATATATTTATGCACTAATTTTGTCCATAAAGAAATGGCTTGAAAAATCAAATGTACACAAGTTTGGTATTTGAGGTTTGCTTCTTTAGTGTTACATTTAAGGCTAACATGGCTAACAAGTAAGGGAGATGTACACCCCTTCAGAAGACTTATGTTTTTTTCTGACACTGTATAATGTGCTATTATCTATAAAAGTACACAAATGCAAAAAAAACACATTCTGTTTACACTCATGTTAGATGTGGTCAAGATCCGTGTTTGACCACTGCTGAATGCAGTTTGAGCGATCTGTTCATAATTTGCTCACAGTGTGTCTTGAAGGTGTTTACACCTGGCTTTTCATGAGGTCAGTCACCAAAACACGTTAATGCAAGGTATAAACAGGCCCACAGTGTCAGAAACCACATAAGCAAGTCTGTTTGAAATTATTTGTGTAGTTGATGTTGGCAAATATGCTCGTTCACACAAAGGATGCAGAGATTTTCTAACAAACTGACAGTGGCTTGTTTTGTGTAACACAGTAATGCAATTCGAGTTTGCAATTTGAGGTCTCGCACAGTTTCAAAGTCTGATTTCTTGAAAAAATGGGTTTTCTTCCTTTTTTGCACTTTGTTCTTTGTAATTAAATCCAAGTTAAAGTACACAGTCATCAGTACACGGTATAAAAAAGTAGCCATATTTAGCATTTTTCCTCAAACTGGGCCTCTTTCAATGTTAAGGTATAAGTTATTTTTCCCATCTGGAGTATCTCCTACATAATACACCGATCAGGCATAACATTATGACCATCTCCTTGTTTCTACTCTCATTGTCCGTTTTATCAGCTCCACTTACTATATAGGTGCACTTTGTAGTTCTACAGTTACAGACTGTAGTCCATCTGTTTCTCTGCATACTTTGTTAGCCCCCTTTCACCCTGTTCTTCAGTGGTCAGGACCCCCACTGACCCTCACAGAGCACGTTCTATTTGGCTAGTGGATCATTCTCAGCACTGCAGTAACACTGACGTGGCGGTGGTGTGTTAGTGTGTATTGCACTGGTCTGAGTGGATCAGACACAGCAGTGCTGCTGGAGTTTTTAAACACCTCAGTGTCACTGCTGGACTGAGAATAGTCCACCAACCAAAAATATCCAGCCAACAGCGTCCTGTGGTTAGCATCCTGTGACCACTGATGAAGGACTAGAGGATGACCAACACAAACTGTGCAGCAGACTTTACATCTACAAGGTGGACTGACAAGGTAGGAGTGTCTAATAGAGTGGACCATGAGTGGACACAGTGTTTAAAAGCTCCAGCAGCACTGCTGTGTCTGATCCACTCAGACCAGCACAACACACACTAACACACCACCACGTCAGTGTTACTGCAGTGCTGAGAATGATCCACCACCCAAATAGTACCTGCTCTGTGAGGGTCCATGGGGGTCCTGACCACTGAAGAACAGGGTGAAAGGGGGCTAACAAAGTATGCAGAGAAACAGATGGACTACAGTCTGTAACTGTAGAACTACAAAGTGCACCTATATAGTAAGTGGAGCTGATAAAATGGACAATGAGCGTAGAAACAAGGAGGTGCTCCTAATGTTATGCCTGATGAGTGTATAAAGCCACTGACTTTTTTTAGGTGGGTTGGGGGTGGTGGGGTTCAGTCTTGAGGCAGTTTCTTCTTACTGGCTGTGAGAAATATCCTTGCCAAGTATGTGCCCTTAGATACAACACCTAAAATTTTGCCCAGAGACATTACAGTACTCCTTATTGAAACTGTGCACTCCAGCACCTCATTCACAGTGAAATAGACCTCTTTCCCCAAAATGGATCTTATTTGGGCAACTCCACAAAATATGTCCATGATTTGCATCAAAGATTCCACATTGTTGCCAGCACGGTTGTTGTACCGACAAATATTTACTTCTGATTTTAGGAGTAAATAAATAGCACAATTAAGTTTTTCCACCCAAATTCTAACTCCATTTGAATGATAGTTTGGCTCACATCTTAAAATCATTGAGAGATTTTTTAGTATTTGTAACTGAGTGCCTTACATTCTGGTGTAACGAAGAAGTGAAGCTACATTCAGTTCACACGTTATCAACCTCTAAAATGCAAAAACAGCACAGTTATCAGTCAGATTTCAGATATCTGCATGCTTAATACGTTAAAACATCTACAGGCAAATTGTGCAAATTGAGGAGGTGATATCAGCATTTTCAGAAAGTGTGTTTTTCCCCTCCATATAAAATGTTGAAAACTAGTTCTTTGCTGATTTTTCAAAGATCTCCTTTTTTAGTGACTAAAATCACTGTTTTCATATGAACAGGAGGCCAGAGATAAAACAATGTTTCAGAAATATCCAAATATGTCTGGGAACACTAATTGGTCGAACTCAAGCTTTCAGTACTTGTTAGCTACGTTAGCCTTGTAGATCTAGTGCAAAACTGAATAGTCAAACAGGTCTCATCACTGCTGATTGACTATATTCAGCATAGGGGGCAAATTTGCTAATTTGATTGTGTAGCATACTGAAATGAGGTTGCATTGTGAAATGCAGCATGTGTCTTATTGCGTGTGCATGTGCATCTATGTGCGTGTTAGGTGCTGAAGCTGGACCTGAAGGAGATCCGGGATCAGCAGGATTTATTGTTCCGCTTTATGAGTTTCCTGAAACAGGAGGGAGCCGTGCATGTGCTGCAGTTCTGCCTCACTGTGGGTGAGGGTCTCTCTGTCTGTATATGTAGGGGGTTTATTAATGTGTGTGTGTGCATCTTAAACATTAATGCAGTAGTTTGCATGATACTATGTTGTATCTTGGTCAGGAACTTGCCTAACATCCTGTGTGCAGTCCTGTTTATCTCTGTCTGTGCATGATTGAGCATGTTATTGCTTGTATCTGACTCAGGATGAATTTGATGATAAGATGGTGGGAGTGTGTTAATAAGGCAAAAATGTTCTGACCTTGTAATTAAAAAAAAATTAGATTTTTCATTTTTTAAAACTGAAAGAGCTAAAACAAATCTTTGTGGTTACTGAGGTTAATCCTTAAAAATCCTTATTACAGAAAGGTACTTACATATCAAAGATACTATTATGTATACAACGGTATCCAAAAGTTTGAACACCTCTGGTCAAATGGCATGTTTTGTGACCACATCCTTTACAGAGAACAAACTTAAATATGGCATTTTCTGAAAAGGTTAGTTCTCCATTTCTGTTTAGTTACTGAGTTTAACTTTACATATAACACACACACAAATTAAACTGTCATAACTTTTGTACTGGCCAAATTTTAATTTTTCATTTTTCCACCAGTGTGTTAAGTTCATCAAATAAACAGTAATCGTGCATTGCAATGCGTAGAAGTGTGTTCTCTGTAGAGGATGTGTTCACTTATTATGACTTAGAAAATCAACAAAACATGTCTTTTGATTGGAGCACCCAAACCTTTGCATACGACTGTAAGTACTTACAATATGTATATACGTATGTAAGTAGGTATATATGCAGTGCTGTGCAAAAGTTGGAGACCACCCTTTCATTTATTTCCTCTCCAAACAGGACAGCCATTAAGTTTCATTTTTAAAGGGGGAAAAAGCTGAAAATTTAAAGTATATCTGAAACTGACACAAAAACTTCAACAACTAAATCAAATCAAATCTAATCCACTTTTTCTAGTCCACTTTTTGCGTTTATCACAGCTTCTATTCTTTTTAGGAGACTTGCTTTCAGGTTTTCAAAGAAATCTGCAGGGATATTTTTCCACATCCTCCAAAGTTCAGCAAGTTGGTTGCATTTTCTGCTTCTCACGATCCAAGTAATCCCAAACACATTGTTTTGAGAACACCAGTATCTTTTTCTCAGTAATTCTTCATTATTTATTTTTTCATTAATGGCTTCTTTACAGCTACACATCCTTTTAAAGTCATAGTGCTGAGTTGTTTTCTTACAAGGGAAGGATGGACAGAAACACCTGTGAATGTTTTCAGATCTGAAGCCAGAGTGGTGCTCGATTTTCTCCTCTCTCTCAAAGATGAAAGTGCTGTTTATCTGATGGGGACAGTTTTGGTGGTCTACCACGTCTTACATGGTAGTTAGGAGCCCCATTTTCTTGCCATCTTTTAATCATTTTTGAAACTTCAGCTTTGGGAACTCCTGTTTTTTAACTTTGTTTCTTTTGAATTTCTCCTTCCTAATCCTAGTGGATTATCTTAGATCTAATCTACAAAAATAAATAAGTTGTTCTTAATGGCCGCTTTGGAAATTAATTAAATGAAGGGTGTCTCTGACTTCTGGCCATCAGCTATGGAACCTGTCATTAATATTATTATTATTATTATTATTATTATTGTTATTGTTATTGTTATTGTGTTACCCCTGTGTGTGTTTGTGTAGAGGAGTTCAATGATAAAATCCTGTGTCCTGAGCTAAGCGACTCTGAGATGGAGCGACTGCATGGTGAGGTGCAGAACATCTATGAGACATATTGTCTGGAGGAAAGCATTGACAAGATCAGCTTTGATCCCTTTATCATCGAGGAAATCTGCAGTAGTGAGTATTGTTTAATTTCCATGCCACTTTGCTTTGTGCACCTCCAATGATTTGGTTGTAACTGCAAAATCTGTAGACCACATATGGTGTGATCTTCCAGAGTTTGTTTTACCTGGTTGTTGTGAAGCTTGTATTTACTGTCATCAGCCAAGACCTAGGGCTGATTCAGACATACTTCCACTTTGTGACATGAGCAATGTGGAACGTATTGATTTTCATTTCAGTGCTAATGTTAACGGGTCAGCTGTTTCACACAGGCTGTGCGAGCAGAGCGGCAGAACGTCCCATTGAAGTGGGGCATTATTTAGAGAATAGATGGGAGCTGATTTTTTTTTTTTTCCTCATGCTGTGCACAATGCAACAAAACAGATAAGCCACAAAAATCAATGAAAATCAAAGAGAAAACTGAATAAAAAAACTAAATTCTTTAAAATTTTAATTAATTCATGAACATAATCCCTAACTAGGTAGATTTCCCAGTTGGTCTAGCAGGCATGAAAGCATCACCTGGTCAACAATCAGAATACTGTTCTTATTGTTGACCAGGTGATGCTTTCGTGCTAAACAAATGTGTCATGCTCTTTTACAATTTGTTTTTAAGCAGAGTGTCCTCAAAACAAATGAGAGGTGCTTGCACTTGATAACATCTGTGGTCATGAGTTTGCGATAAGAAAAAACCATGCCACATTACCATGGAGGAAACCACCGCTATTTAAAACAAACAACCAAAAAAACACTCACTATCTCAAGTTTGCTTTACTGCAGCAGTGTTCTATGGACATGGCATTATTGTTGGAGAAAACAACACACTGCCTACGAACAGTAAAATCACATTCCAGCTGTGAAGCATTGTGGGATTGCTTTGTGTTGCCTCAGGGCTGATTCAGTATGTCTTGCAATCATTGTGGGTCCAAAGAATGCTAAGCTGTAGATTGGCTTCAACATGTGACTGAAGGCCAGGGCGTCTACCAAAAACTCAAATAAGACTCGGGCTGTTCAAAAAAGGAATCCCACAAAAGGAATGGTCCAAAATACTTCCTGACTGCTGCGCAGGACTGAATAGCAGCTTCAGAAATTGTTCATTGCTAAGTACAATGACACATGCTTTTTACATAGTCACTTTACATAGTGACCTTAAATGTGTAACTCTGTCACACCTAACATATATTGAGAGATGTAGGCAGTGTCCCATTTAACTGTTTAAAATCGGCCCAGAGAGTAGTTGGTGTGCATGCATGTGATTGCTGGTCATAGTAAAATGTGTCAGTATGTGGATTTTCAGCTTTCCAAGTGCTACCATGTTATCTATCACTATATAAAAGAAGTTCCATGCATATTGTTAGATGCGCTTTGATTGTTTCTCAGTGAGCGTGCGCACATTTCAGACCTCAATTCTGATTGCTAAGGCCTAATTATTGATTTGTTTTATCAGAGTGACAATAAAAGGCGAATAAAGTGTGAAGTATGTAGAAATATATCTACATCTATGCCTTTTAGCTTTGGTGGTTCTTTACAAATCGATAGTTACATATTTAAATGCTTACCTTTGTGTTACATTGCCTTTTCTTTCAACAACATTTAATAATCTTCAGCTAACTGTACTGATCTTCGCTGTTGTATTTTGAGGTTCATACTGTGCCACACATTTTCATGGGAAGACAGGTGTGTACTGCAGGCAGGTCAGTCTAGCACTTGCACTTGTGTATTATGCAGGCATGCTGCTGTAATGCAGAAGCTGGAATGAGTATGGATGTCTCAGAAAATAAAAACTGTGAAAAAGCAACAGTTCTGTGTACAAAATTTGTCTAGACTTTTCAGTGGTGATGGTTACTTAACAGATGTAGTTACCAATGCCATGGGTATGAATACACTCCATACCATGGCAGACCCTGGCATTTGAACTTTACTCTGGTAACAATCTGGATGGTCCTTTTCTTCTTTGGCCCAGAAAACATTTCCATAAACAGTCTGAAAGGTTGACTCATCAGACCACAATGCACATTTCAAGCCCAGCGAAGGTGGTGGACGTTGTTGATATATGGCTTGTCAGAGTTTGTCAAAGTTTTGCTGAGATTATGTGATGATATCCATCACAGGAGCATATCGATTTCTAATGCAGTGGTGCCTGAGTGATCTAGGGTCACACATTCAGTTGTAGTTTTCAGTTGTGGAGTTTTCTGGGTTCACTGAAATATGCACTGTAAAGAGTAAAATACCTAAAATTCTTGCCATTGCTTGTTGAGTAACGCTGTTCTTAAACTGATGGCTGCTATGTTTGGCAAAGTGGCGAGCATCAACTCTTATGCTTATGAAGGTCTCGCCTGGATGATCTTTCTGTACCCTATCATGATGAACATTTCACAATGTTCCTAGTCTCAAAATGCTCCTGTCCCAACTTTTTTGGAATGTGTTGAAGGCATGAAATTTAGAACAAGTATACATTTGTAAAAAACAATGAAGTTAAAGTTAGAACGTTTAAGATCTTGTATCATGACATTGTACTTTAAATACAGGTCAAAGTGTTTTTTTGCTTTCTGATATTATTTGCGTTTAACATACTGTCACACCTTTTTGGAACTTGGCAAAGAAGATTTTTATATATGTAGGTTTTTTAAACTTAAGTGTATGTTGAGTCTTTATATTCCTTTCCTTTAGTCGCAGAGGGCCCATACACAGGTGTGGTGAAGCTGCAGAAGATGCGTTGTCTCTTTGAGGCCTATGAACATGTCCTGTCACTGCTGGAGAATGTCTTCACCCCATTGTTTTGCCACAGTGATGAGGTAGTGCACTACATGTATACTCACATCCCAGACTTACTCAAATGTCTATTTTAGGACGTTTTACTCATATAACACTGAGGGGAAACCCCGGTCCTGTTTGCTTCAATAACAGTGACGAGGCCAACCAAGACTGGCTTAACTGTCCTCAGCGCTGTTCGCTTTAATAACAGTGGTGAGGTCATCCACAAGACTCAAGTAACTCTAGAAACACAAGTGCTATAAAACGTACAATAAAGTGAGAGTCAAAGACCACCCTCCGTTTATTTAATTTCTAGTAAAATGGCAGTTTAGTAACAGAAAATCCTCAACTATTAAATGTAAAATCAACTTCCATTATTATGTGTCTGTTCTTTGCTTTTTTTTTATGCCTTCCATTCTTTTCTTCCATTCTGGGCTGGTCAGTCTATTTTTCTGAGAACACCAGAAGCTTCTTTGTATAATTTTGCAAATCATCTTTTTTCCTCAGTGAGGGCTTCTCAGCAGCTACACTTTCTTTCAGACTCATTGTGTTGAGTTGTCTTCTCACAACTAAAGGATGGACAAAAACACCTGTGAAATGTTTTCAGGTTTGAAGCAAGAGCAGAGTTTTTTCTGCTATCTCTCAAAGATGAAAGCTTTGAGAATTTTTATGTAATGCTTAAAGTTTTGGTGGTCTATCAGGTCTAGCATTGTTGTTAGGAGTCTGATTTTCTCAAATTCTTTGTCTTTTATTATTTTTATAGATTATTAATATATGAGGTTCAAAATCTCCTGCTTTTGCAATTATTTTTCTTTGACTTTCCGCTTTCTTATGCAAGTGGATTATCTTATGTCTGATCTCCTCAGAAATTTCTCCTGAAACTGAAAAACTTGGTGGTTTTAACTGTAAAAGAAATAAATGAAGGGTGGTCTCAGACTTTTGCGTAGTATATGTAAACTAGCAGTAAGAATACTTCCTACAATGTTATAATGTTAAATAATTTTATTAATGTTATTAATGCTTTTGAGAACAAACACCTTCTATGCAGCTCCTGTTTTTTACACATCCCACTCTTTCTGTACAGTATTTCAGATACCTGCTGTGTGGGGCTGAATCTCCTGCTAGGAATGCCAAACTAAACCGGTAGGTTTCCACTGCACTGCACTGTGTGTGAGTTTGCGTCCATTCACACTGTAATAACACTGCTTACTCATATTTATACTCACACATTTAGACAGGGAAAGCTACTGCAAATTTCAGTCCCACTCAGTTTAGTCTAATTACTTGGAATATAAGACACATACTTTAACTTTCTTGCTATTAATTAGTTGACCCACCCATACTTGGTGTTATGTCATCACAAATGTGTTCATTCATAGCATCGGTTACAGAATGTGGGTAAAAATCCAATACAGGGGGCTCCAACTGTTTAAACATTGGCTCTATCAACGGAGTTCCTCTCTGTCCCCTATTAGCCACTGCAAGTTCGCTGACGTAACAGACTTGACATAGTGTTTTCCTCCAAGTTGAGCTGTCCAATGATGTTGCATTGGCCACAATTAACTTGCAGAGAAAAGTGGATAAATGTTACCATTAGCGCTAACATTAGCATGGTGGAAAATTTGTCATTGTTGTTTCTGACCTCCTTTGTTTTTATTAGCTACAATAACACAGTCCAGTTTGGCGGCATAGCATTTTAAACTGGAAACTTAAGGTTTTGTAGCAGACCTAAACAAAGTACACCACAATTTCTCATTCAATTTTTTTAGTAACGTTCTGTAAAGCTTGTATAACAGCAATTTCTGTGAAAGAACACGTGTGGATAGGTCAACTGACAGTCAGCCTTTAAAGTCTGGATTAATATCACTGATGTATTGAAAAGCCAACACAGCATGAGGTTCGTTTGTGTGGCTGTTTCCAGTGAACTCCTGGGAGTGAGAGAGAAAAACAAAGAGAGAAAGAATGTTTGTCTGTGTCAGAGAGTAACTCCATTGTGCCTGTTATTCCAGGAATTTGAGTTTGGATGATTTAAGGTAAGTTCATCAGCATGCTTACAGGCCAGCGTGACGTGTGAGCCTTTTCACCCACTGCATGCAAGCCGCACTAGCCTGAATGCAGTTTAAGTGCCTATATGCCACATATGAGCACAGTTAAAGAAAAAAGTCATTTATTTTCATTAACGAACTGGAAAATTTTAGGGGTACCCCCTTACTCCCTCTGCCAAAAGAGGCTCGAGTGAGGATTAATGTAAACCAAATTCAGATGTGGTAGGATGTTTCGTGTGGAGTTTACTAACTTTACCCATTTAACACATGTAGGAATGCATGGTAGTGTATGAGAGTCTGAACTTACAACTTGTTTAGAACTTGTTTGTCCTGTTCTGTGTTGTAATGTGTTGTACAGCTCAGGGTGTAGTTTTTATGCATTTATTTATTCATGTATTTCTTTGGAATTAGCTTTGGTCTCAACTGAAGGAGTGTCCTTTGCTAGCCACCTGCTAGGCATCTAGCCACCTGCTCATTTACAGCTGCAGTCAAGTTTTTGTACATACAGAGCCCCCAAAGCAGTATTTGGACATTTGTGCCACACTTAAAAATGGTTTTAATTGATTGTGTTACGTAGGAGGGTAACAATATGCAAATTTCATGATACAATGCATTTTTGATACAGAATTAGAAAAGAAATATAACATAACTTATGCATTTATTTAACTATACTTGGTAATTCCAAAAATGTCCTCTTTCCAAATAGACACCAGTGCTTGCTGAACAGATAACTGGCATGTATTTAAATACAAAGTAACAAAAACAGTATGTTTACCAGACACATAAAAAGTGAAAAAAGTGGATTATGAGCTTTACAAGTTTATTTAAAATCTGATCTTTTGTTTCCATATAAAGTGTAATTCTTAACTATTGGCTGAAATGAGAGCGAGAGTGGATTTTCTAATGTGGCTCACTCCCTGCAAACTGCGGATTTCATGACTCTCTACTAGTGGTGCAAGTTGGAAGCTATAAACATTTGTGTGGATTTATTTGTTCAGGATTGGCAATTGGTGGCTGCTTGTATCCTGTGTAGAGAAGTAGCTGCGACTTGTGTTTTTCCCTCTCTCTGAAAACAGACTTTTGGGTGATGTTGTCATATAATATGGGTGAGCATATCTGAGGTATCAGCACAGCTGTTTGATGCTCGCACTATGGCACTCTGTCACCATTCAGTCTACCACTCAGTCATTATTGTGCTTGACTGCAAATCCAAAGTTTACCCATACAGCAGATGAATGTGTGGGGGGTAATTTACCACATCATGACGAGTGACTTCAGTGGCTCTCTCCACTCGCCGTTTCAAACAGCTTTGCCAAATAGCCATCCAAGGTAGACAAAGCTGAAGTTAGCTTCATATCTGCCAGCTTCTTGTTGTAATTTTTTTCAGGTGCCAGGATGTAACCACTGCAGCATTTAAGGTGAAATGGAAAATTAGAATAAGGAGCTGGCGAATAGCATACTTAGTCCAAGATAGGAAAAACGTTTTGTTGACCTTTGTGATTATTATTTTCAAGGAATTGTTGTGACTCGATTGTTCGATTCACATTCAGTTTGACCCAGTTCTGGGGCTGGATCCTTCAAAGGCTGCCTAGAACCGCAAAGGCTGAACCGAAAGGAAATGATCTGCCCTATGGCAGATTTTCTGTTCTTTTCAAGTTATTTAAAGATGGAGCCAGAAACTTTTATTTTAGTTGTTTATTTTTTCATTTATTAGAGCATGAGATGCTTTACCGCCGGCTACTGATGATTGTTTTGTTTTTTTTGTTTTTTTTACATTTGTATCATTAGCCATTCGCCTCAGTTTAAACCCGATACTTATATATTTATGTATTTATATATATTTATGCTGCCATGTTCTTGAATCCTCGCTGGCACACAATGAGCCCCGGGATATGTTGGCTGGCGAAGGAAGCACCCGTTGGATCCTTTATTGCCACTGAAAAGAAGGACACATTCCTCGGCTGCATATGAAAGACCCTTCAAAATGGGGCAGTCTAGTTGTGCCGCTGTGACGCAATTGGCCTTCAAATGCAGCCTCCAAAGGACGCAGCCCCTGAGTTGAGACACACAGACTGTCTTGCAGCCCCCATGTTGAACACAATGAATGATAACATGTCCTGTGATAGGAAACAAAGACTGCTTTTCTGCTGTAGGGCTGAACGGTTCTGAACACGGAGGGTAACTGCTCCAGTGGCATTTCCAGACTGACACGGTCCAATACATAAGTCTTACACAACGTTATACTGTTGGTTACACGTGGTCAAGGCCACAGAATCATTCGCTTGGATGACTTAATGATGTAGCCAGAACAATTTTGATTCTGGCTAACAGAAGCTGGGATGACTTAATGATGTCACAGTACAGGTTTGATTCTGGCTAATTAACACTAGTTTAGTTTATAGTGACTCAAATCTGAGGGAATGAAATCGAGCAGCTGGTGTTGGAGGGATAAAAAGCCAAAATTAAATCTGTTAGTTAAGATAATGCTAGCTGTCTTCTTTCTCCTGGTTAGCAGCACTCCTAGCTTAGCTAGTGGGCTTTAGATCCACACAGTGCCACAAACTGCAGTACAGGTTTGATTCTGATACAGCCATAGACAGTAAAAGCTAATGTCTGAGAGTAAAAGTCAAGTGACTGTCACTCATGTTAGAGTGACAGAAATCTAACCTGTTCTGTGATGTTTGAAGCTGTACCCTGCTGGACTAAACTAACACTAGCTTAATAAACAGCCACAAGTGTGCAAAAATAAGACAGTTAGAGGATAAAGACTCCTATCTGAGAGCACAAAGTCATATGGCTGCTGTTGGAGTGACAGTCGAAATTCAGCATGCTCTGTGGTGTGTGTGTAGCTGTTAGTCACTGTCCTATGTAGTTTTTCTTCAGTATTTCCTGGTCCTGATTTAGCAGCACAGCAAATGGAAAAAGAAACCATAACCATTCTCATGAGTCCCCACCAGCGTGGAATGGCATGATACGGCCATCGGAGCCATTTGGCTTTCCAGTGGAAAAGTGGCCAAAATGTCAAATGTCATTTAGTTTGAATTGACCATTCCAAGACTCATTTTTTTCCTTTATTTGGCAAAGGATCATTATCATTTGAGCAGTTTTTTTGCAGGCTTTTTTAGGTTTGCATCCAAAATGTCTTTGTACACTTCTGAGTTCATGAGCCCATCAATAGACACAAGCCCACTGAAAAACAGCCCTAGACTTTGACTTTTTGCCACTGTGTTTTTGTTTGTTTTACATCAGACAGTCAAGATTGCGATATATTTGTTGTGCACCGTCCAATGCGCTCCCATGAAATTAAAGCCAAGTGTTGATTTTACACACTGTTGTTTAATTTGATTGCATAGAAAATTTAAAACTAGGTGAAAATGCATTAAGTAGAATTTGTAGATGCTGTGAAGATCATGGCGTCAGGGCTGGTTTATAGGTAATTGTATTATTATAAAACACTATTTCAATAAAAGTGAAGGTATCAAGACATTACAGTAAGAAATAGATATCTTGCTGGCCAGACTTACATACTGCTGGTACAAAGTCACACTTCCGTTTCCATAGAAGACAGGATCATAGATGAAATGAAAGAAAGTGCAAGAAAAGAACATACAAAATAATGACTGTGATAGTTCCTAATGTTACTCAGGTAATCCTTAAAGGTTTGGACTATGTAGGAAAAATGTGATTGGTGGAATTAAACATCCTATCAGAGGAATGTTTTGTTCTCCAGTTTATTTCAAAGCCGGAGCACCAGTGTTCCCTGACAAAAGGTTTACCCTGTAAAGCAAACCAATCTGGTTGTTCATTTAGAATCTGCAGAACACTTTTGTTCTTTAATTATGGTGCCTTTCTATAGCTAATAAGGTCTCCAGAGCCCAGATGCCTGATTTTTAAATTAGGGTTCATTTAGTGGGCAATTATTCTAAAAAACAGATGTTGGAGATGACCTAGGGTTGACTAGGGTCAGCCTGAAATAAAGTCTGAAGCAGCTGTTCAACAGTCTAAACCAGCATTCACATCAATGAGATATAATAGCCAATAAATCTTACAGTGAAGTGTGAGAGAAACATGTGGTTTTCCTTCTAGTCTGACTTGTCTTTCTCATCATCCACTGCTGCCCATGTGTCCTGGACTTACATTAAACGTCCACACCTCCATGTAGTTCAGACTCCAGTCCTCCAGGATGGGCTGATATTATTATTGGTCGCAGGCCTATATCCATCAACATGAAACCCCCACCCCCATCAGGTTCCCCATCTATCAAATCCATTCTAACCCTGCGGCCCAGAATTCTAAAGTCCCTCTTCACCCCGACAAAGTGAGTCAGGCTGCCTGTGTGTGCAGTGGCTCTTGAAAAGCCTTCCAGCACTGATCTGAGACCAGCTTACCCTCCTGCTTTAGAGTCTTTACCCAAAAATGCAAGCTAACAGTGAATGGAAGCATATGGAGCATGTGGACTTAGTTGGATGCTAGTTTCCATCTGTTATAAGCAGGATTGGCATTGGCATTTTTGGTTGAAGTATTTCTTTGAAGTAGACAAAGCTGAAGCTTTTTGAGAAAGGAAAGCTGTTCTGAGGTCAGTGTGTAGGGCAAGCGTGTTCCTGGAAAGACGTATGCTCAGCATGCTTCTTTTTGGATGCCTTCCTTGCTTTGCATTTTGCGTGTATCTTTGTTTTCTCTGCACATTTGTGTGCAAGTTCTTTTTGTGTGCTGTTGTTCCCATCACTTTATTTAAAGGCTGCCTACCTAAGGACTTTCTGATGCATGCATAAACACTGAATAATGCATTTAAAAAGCAATACTGTATTCATAAACAAGATAGTATGATTTTAAAGCAAATGACATTGTATTGATGTAAGTGTCCTTAAACTAAAGTGTGAGACATTTGTTTTTGTAACATTCTCAACACATGACTTAAAGCTGAGGTCCGAGTCAGGAATAACAGCCAAGTCTCACAAATTTCTCCCTGTTAATACTAGATCTAATGAGAATAATTTTTGTTTTCTCCTCGTTTGATTTCAGAAAATTGCTGTTCATTTTATTTATGATACCATATAAGCATTTAATCAGTTGATAAAGAGAACAGTTTCATGTGCATCAGAAATGTTGAGTTGTATATTGTCAGCATAGCTATATATGTTTATTCCATACTCGCAAAAATAATGTGACGAAGTGGTTACATACATAAGAAAATAAAATAAGCCGAAGTGTAGATCCCTGAGGAACACCCCACTGAATGAGCCTGTTTTGGAAAGATGCTTGAAAAGTCTTATAAATGAAACATCTGTATATAGAATGTCATTTATTTCATAAAACATCTCCTGTCATCTTGTGAATAATGATGTAAGATGTTCTTACATATTCAAATATTACTTCTTAAATACATTCTTCAGTGTTTGTGCATGTATTATGAAGTCCCTATGTAGGTATTCTTCAAATAAAGTCTTACCAAAAATCCTGATCAAACAAAATCTTACAACTGTATTTGAATGCATTTTTATGCATCACAAATATACTTACAACTTACTAGTAATTTATTGTATACATTTAATCTTTTTTCATTTCATATTCTTGTCATTTGAGCTTCTTCTTGATGGTTTGCAGTGTTAATGCTTGTGCAAAGAGTGATAGTTCTCACTCTTTGACTGGTTTAATTCCTGAATTCATTTTTGTAAAATGTGTGTGCATGTGCAGGAACACGTCTAAGCGAGGAGAGTCGTTTGGGATCAGCCGCATCGGCAGTAAGCTGAAGGGTGTGTTTAGAAGCACCACTATGGAAGGAGCCATGCTGCCCGCCTATACAATGGTTGACGGTGAAGAGGATATGGTGAGACTCTCAAACATATATATATAATACAACGTATAATAATTATAATATATTTGAAATGTACTGTAGTACCATGCAAAGATCTTAGACAGCCAGGCCTCGGCTGTCTCTTACTGCCTATAAAAACAGTATATAACATTAGAATGAACATAAATAAACATAAATACTGTAAAATTTAACAAGAATTTCTTGTTTCCAATGAAACTATTAATTGGTTTGTTAGAAGAATACAGATATAAGAATGTGGTTCGTTCTTAACTTCTCGCTACACACCAGCCATCACCTGAATTTTCCATCAGCAGCACAACTGATTTAATTTAAGGAAGGACTGATTAACCAAACTACGCTCTTTAAAATAAAGATGGTTCTTGGTGAGATTACTTAAAGGAACTACTTTTGGTTCCTTAAAGAACATTTCAGTGGATGGTTCTTTGGAGAACCATATTTATAAATGAGATGTAAGTGCAAAGAATATTTTGTAGAAGTTTGTATAATGTGAAAATCATAGGGAAAAACATCTAAATTACAAAGTACCCTTTATGTGAAGGTCACTTTAAGCCTTTTAAAAGGTTCTTCACACTGATGCTTCTGTTTTTCAAACGTGGTTCTTCGGGTTTTTTAAAGAGTTGTATTAGATGGTAATTCTAAGTGTTGAGCTTCCTCAAGGAGAGGTCTCAATGCTGAAACACTTCTTACACATAAAATAGCAATGTATTGTTTAATTCTTTGTTTATATTTATATATATTTATATAAATGTTAGAATGAAAGTATATAGTGTTATATAGTGTTAGAACGAAATATGCTTGCTGCATTTTTGTCAGATGCCCAAGACTTTTGCACAATACTGTAAACGAGCAAAGACTGTGTACAGAAACATCTGCAATGATTTTGGGTTGCTTGCACACTCTGTTCAAATCGGATAATTCACAAATCCGTGAATGTGCTGTGGGACTGTCTGACAGATAAAAAAGCAAATCAACCAGAAAATCAAATAGACGTAGATAAAGACCTGGTCCCATTTCACCACTCTGTTTTGTGCGTTCATGCCTAGAGGTAGGGTGTCCTGATTTTTGTTGAGATACAGGGTAGGGTGAAGTGTTAGGGCTACATGGCCTTCCAAATGGAGGTTTTTCATAGGCATACAGAGTGTTATGAGAAAAAAAGAAAAACTGGCAAGATGGCGGCACAAGAGACCAAAGAAACCCACAAGTATTTTCTCTGTTAAGCCATTGTATTATCTTACTTTTATATCATTTCAATGCATTGTGGTCCTTTTCTTCATAACAAACATAAAAAATCGCTGGTGGTGTGCTGATGTCTCTGTGGCTAGCTAGCTAAGTTTCCCATTCCACCTTAAATGGAAAAGGCACCAGAATGTAACTGCTGCACCATTTAATGTAAAACGAGAAAATTTCAACAAGAAGCTAGCGAATAGCTGACTTCAGCTTCATACAAAAATTAGGGGTAGGTGATAATAAATAATTGCGAACCAACGCCCCCACCCCTTTGAAGGTATATTATGCCCTAAACGTAACTAAAGCCCAGCAGTGAGGTTGCTGAACTTTACCCTCCTCTGCTGTCACTGCAGACTGGCAGGGTCGCCTACAGAGCACCACTAGTAGCTGTTAATGAAGTGATGTTCTATTTTATTTGAGGGTCCCATTTCGTAGGGAAAGATTTCAACCACTACCTCTTGTAACTCAGTTCTAATGGGCAAGGTCACACTCAAAAACAAGGGGTAGGGGTAAAAATAAGAAACAGAATTGGGCCAAAGAGTGGAAAACAGAAGTGGTAGCAATCTCAGGTGACAGCAACATCAAATAGAAGGAATACAAGAACTGTGGAGAGATATGAGGAATTGAAAGAGAGACTACAGAGAAGATGAAAGTCATGAAATTAATAATTGGAGTACCCTAAGAGTGCCTCCAGATTTCAGTTATAGAAACATCCACTTCAGTCCAGAAGCATGCAGTCCCAGAAACTGCTTCACTTCGAAGCTCTGAGCATTAAAATAAGAAAACAAATGAAATGGGGGGATTTTGTCCCAGTCGTTTTTCACAATTTGTTATTGTTCCAGATAGGGTTGCAGTAATATGCCGGTTTTATGGTATACCATGCTATTAATATTGATGGTTATCATACCATGTGCATTTGCTGTTATCGATATTGAAAAAAAAAACAACAACCAAACGAAGAATCTCACCTGCATGTGCGCATCTCCTTTCTTTCCCGATGGCCTGTCGGACTCTGCAACTGGTACCACACACACACAAGCGACAGAGAAAATGGCAGAGAGAACTGAGACTGATCTCACTGAGAACATTTCAGTGGATGGTTCTTTGGAGAAAAAGGAATTAAAATCAGCAGTGTGGGATTACTTTGGATATCACAAAAACAAATGTGGGATTGTCCTCGAGGACTGATAGCCAGCATCTAAAAAAATTGCCTCCAAGGGAGGAAACACATCAAACATGTTCACTCATCTTTGGGAGCACCATCCCTCCTTGCAGATCACAGTGCGTTTCCCTTTAATAATGAAAAAACGTGTGATTGTTTAAACTTCAATCATAAAATGTGCAATCTAAATAATTTCCTACATCCCAGCTCCCGGTTACATCTACATTGTCTGTACATTTATTACCCTCTGCCTTACAGACACACACTGACCGTGATCTGACCACATAAAGAAACACACACACACAAACTTTCCCAGCTTAGAGGGATGGCATAAATGAGTGTGTTTTTGTGTGTGTGTGTGTGTGTGTGTGTGTTTGTCAGTGAGTGTTTGTGAGTGTGTGTGTGTGTGTGTGTGTGTGTGTGTGTGTTACAAACCAATCAGCCATAACATTAAAACAGCCCTCTTCCTCCTAGACAGTTCCCATTTGTTTTACAGATCCTTATCTTTAGGGCCAACTGCCCACCCTAGTATTTGCAGTATTCACTGTAATTTTCTGCCACAGCTCCAGTGGTTGCTGAAGTAGCGATAGTGTAAGTGTGAGCAACTGCATTTACTAAGGTACGTGGTGAAGCTCTCACCAGATAAACAGAGCTTAAAGTTTTCACTTGTGAGAGAGGAGAAAATCAAGCTTCACTCTTGCTTCAGATCTGAAAACATCTACAGGTGTTTCTTTCCGTTCTTCTACTATTCCACTGTGGTTATTGTTGTTAAGTTGGCCTCTTCCTTGTAAATGTTTACAAAAATATCAGATGCATGCATGACCTGACATCAGAGTGTCTAGTGTGTTCATAACCCATACATGGCTGCCTTTCCTGGCAAACTCTTCTCATGTTTACCAGCAGTAAACAGCTATAAGTAAACATTTGTACAGTACTGTGCTATAGTCAAGCGGCATAATGGCGCAGTGGGTAGCACTGTTGCCTGGGTTAAATTTTTCAGGGTCATTTCTGTGTGGAGTTTGCATTAGTTCTCCCAAAAGGAAAGATAAGTGGCTTAGATGGTGTGTGTGTGTGTGTGTGTGTGTGTGTGTGCTATAGTCAGAGACCACCATTCATTTAATTAATTTAAAAGCTGGTACTGAGCAAAGGCAATAGACAAAAAAAAGAAAATTTGCAAATCAAAGAAGCTGCTGCTGTTCTCAGGACAATTAACTGCTCCAGACCTCAGAATTATTCAAAGTGTTTGGGATTTCTTGGATTGTGTGAAGCAGAAAATGCAACCAACTTCTAAGACTGAACTTTGGAGGTGTGGAAAAATATCCTTGCAGATTTCTCTGAAAAACTAAAAGCAAGTCTCCTGAAAAGAATGGAAGCTGTAATAAAAGGGTGGATATATTAAATGAAAAAAACGTGTTACGTTTAGTTGTCAACGCTTGTAGAACTCAACAATGTAATAATTGTACGTGTATAATGTAATAGAGGTCTTAATTAGTGTTGTAATAATATTTTTACTGATAATATAATAGTTAATTACGTTACTGAGAATTTAGTACAGTTTCAAGTTAACTATAATCAATACTTTTATTACATCATTGGGTTTAATTATATTTTAGAATTAAGTTCAAAATTATTATCTTTAACCAGGAAGAGTCTTGCTGAAATTACTTCTGCAGGGGTGTTTTACATTTTGGGGTTTTATACAATATTGGCAAATTATTACATTGTTGGGTTCCACAAGGTTTCGATGTCATTTTTTGTTTTCATTTTGTACGTTTTTTGCTAATGCTGGAAAATGAATAACTTAAATGGCCGTTTTGATATTTGAAATTGATTAAATGAAGGGGGTCTGCCTTAATTTTTTTCTTATAAATGAGTTCCCTGGATTTTTTTAACCACTGAGATCTCTGTAAGTGAGGGAGAAATCTGATTGAGGAACTCCACACCACAGGTCTTTTAAAAAATCACTACAGAGACATCTACAGAACACCACATATGGCCCCCATTTCTTTTGCCTCATTCACTTTGAACTTTGCCTGACACAACCATGGTAATGTTCAAAATAAGTTAACCAAAGAAAATTTAAGATAAAGATTTGTGTGGCGTAAATATAGTTTATTGCTCGAAAAGTCAAGGAAAAGTCACAGGGAAGTCAGTACACCAGGTATTTGCAGTCGTGCCCTACTCTAAGAAGAGCTTACTACGAACTGCCACCATTCCATTTAAGTCTGGGCATCCAAGCTTTATCTGGGGTTAAGATGTGTCCATGGATTTGCAGAAGTGAAAACTCATCATGAGAGCTGTCAGAACATCTTTGGTTGTGATTATCCATTTAGAACAATACTTTTGCAGAAGTAGATTAAAATCGGGCATGAGAGCCTGAAGTCAACAACAGCTCAAGCATGTGATCAAATCTCCCACGGGGGTGGTTCCTGTGGTGATTTTGGAATGTATTTAGGGACTGTTGATGTGATAAGGGTTGGGCTTGACATTGTGTTAATCCGGGCTTTTACGTGCGCAATGTGGGCGAGGTTTTCTGTGAGAATGGAAAGAAAAAGAGAACATTTCCTCATACTTACTTGGTGTTTTCTTGGTGTCTTCTGTTGCAGGTTTAGAAATATTTTACAGAGGACTTTGTCATTGAATGTCTAAGAAGTACAAGTTATTTATTTTTCTGTGTCAGCAGAAAACATATTACACAGAAACTTACACAGGAGCCTTAGCTTAATATTTTGTTCAGTATTTAGTGTGTCGACTCTTTGCCTTTATTACAGCTTCCCATTTTTTTCAGGAGTCTTGCTTTCAGTTTTTTAAAGACATGTGCAGGGGGATTTTTCCACACTCCAAAGTTCAGTCTTAGAAGTTGGTTGCAGTTTCTGTTTCTCACAATCCGAGTAATTTTGAACGCCACCAGTGATGTTGAGGTTTGGACTCTGGGGTGGAATTTCAGACCCATAGCATTAAAGTGTCCTCTTATAGGAGAAGGATGGACAGAAACACGTGCAGAATTGATCAGATCAGAAGCAAAGATGAAAGCTTTAAGTGCTGTTTATCTAATGGTGACGTGATTTGGTGGTCTACCAGGTCTTCCACAGTTCTTAAAAGTTACCGTTTGAGCTCCAGTTTTGGAAACTCCTGTTTGTTTTACTTGTTTTCTCTTTCCTTATGCAAAGAACATATGATTACATCACCAATTAAGAATTGTATTACATTATTGGGCAAGTTATTACATTATCTGGTTTTATTACATTTTTTAAACAAGTGCTAAATTGTATTACATTTCTGGGTGTTACTACATTTCTGGGTATATACATTATAATAGCCGTTTTAACTGTATTTTAATTAAAAGACAGTTGGTCTCTGACCACAGCAGATGTGTTTGTTTCTTTGTGTGGATCAGGTGGAGGAGGCTACTGTGGTAGTGGAGGATGAATCTCCTGTACCGGAGAACATGGTCAGCCCTCCAGGAACGCACAGGAACCTTTCAGCATGGACCATCGCCATTCCCTTTGTGGACTTCTATGAGGATGAAGCCAAAAAAGAACGCATTCCTGTCTTCTGCATTGACGTGGAGCGCCATGACCTCCAGCATGGTGAGGGGGGCTGTCCTTTCAAGCAGTATTTCTGTGAAAATTTTCAAATTATCCCCTAACCTCAAATGTAGTCAATCAGCCAGGACATGTTTGGTGTCTACAGTTTGCTTTTTTAAGAGCTGCGAGGTTAATGTAGCAACAGACAATGGAAGCTTATGCCCTACCAATTAGCAGTGTGCAAACTACATGACACAATTGTCATACTAACAAACCATGTTATCTCAAATATGTGGTTTCTTTACACAATGGACAAAAGTACATCAAATACCCAAGAACTTCAAAAATAGAATTTTCTTTCTCAAAGTCTCTTCAGTCAAGTTACTTTTTACAAAAATGACACCTTTATTCCATTTGAGATCTGCCACATCAGTTCAAGTTCATCAGTTGATGTACTAATCAATTAGTTGATTAAATCAACTACTCATTGAGGTATTGTTGCTTTACCCTTTAAAATTCCAGGTTTATTACATACTAAGGCTTATTATTCAGTAACTACAGAGACTTCAATGCAAACTAGCTGAGCTGTTCTTAGATTCTTATAGAAGTATGTAATAAAACTTTGAGCCCACCGGTGGGCCGTGTCCATTTAAGAGGATCAGGCAGGGTCACTGGTTTTTGTCTGGTTTCTTTTTGTCTGGTTTCTTTCTTTGTCAACAGAGTAGCTGAGTTTTGTCAGGAGTCTAGGAGTTTTCAACTAAAAACAAAACGTTTGTTGGAACATATTTGAAATGATCCAGAATGCTTACTCTCTCTCTCTCTCTCTCTCTCTCTCTCTCTCTCTCTCTCTCTCTCTCTCTCTCGTTTTCAGTTGGTCATGAGATGGAAACATGGTCAATCTTCAGGAGGTACCTTGAGTTCTATGTCCTGGAGTCCAAACTCACAGAATTCCATGGTACAGATGATTTTCTCTCTCTCTTTTTCTATCTGTGTCCTCTTCTCTAGTGACACAGCTTTTTTGGTACTGAATTTTCATCTAAAGTTTTTCATTTCTAACTGCAGTGATTTCCACACATAGATTATACTTTGGTGGTGCGCCCAGGTATATTGAATTGAACTTTTGTAGCATTTATCTACCTATTATTTATTTTTTGTTTATTAGCGAAACAGAAACATAATATCAAGATATTTTTTATTTATTTTATTGCTTATTACATACTGAGGCTTATTGTTCAGTAACTACAAGGACTTCAATGCAAACTAGCTGAACCACATTTTCATGTCACTATCAAAACACAAAGAGTTTTAGTCCATAGGCGGAGTCTTATTTTAGCCATGCTCCTGCATTTTAGAGCAGGAAGCGAGACTGCATCCCTGTGCCCCCATGGCCACATCGTGAGCAGTTAGATCCCACTGTTTTGAAGTAATGTGTTACAAAGTCTGAAGACATTGAAGACAGGAATTGTCACTACTGAAACACATACACCGACCAGCCTCTTCATGAAGTACTCCTCCTTGTTTCTACACTCATTGTCCATTTTATCAGCTCCACTTACTATATATTTGCACTTTGTAGTTCTACAGTTACAGACTGTAGTCCATCTGTTTCTCTGCATATTTGTTAGCTCCCTTTCATCCTGTTCTTCAATGGTCAGGAACCCCACAGGACCACCACAGAGCATGCGTTATTTGGGTGGTGGATCATTCTCAGCACTGAAGTGACATTGACTCAATGGTGGCATGTTAGTGTGTGTTGCTCTGGTCTGAGTGGATCAGACACAGCAGTGCTGTGTCCACACAGTATCCAGTCTATTAGACACTTCAACCTTGTTGGACCTCCTTGTAGATCTAAAGTCAGAAACAGTAGCTCATCTGTTGCTACACAGTTTTTGTTGGTCATCCTGTAGTCCTTCATCAGTGGTCACAGGATGCTGCTGTCTGATCCACTCATACCAGCGCAATACACACTAACATACCACCGCCACCTCAGTGTCACTGCAGTGCTGAGAATGATCCACCACTCAAATAATACCTGCTCTGTGGTGGTCCTGATTATTGAAGAACAGAGTGAAAGGGGACAAACAAAGTATACAGAGAAACAGATGGACTACAGTCTGTAATTGTAGAACTACAAACTGCATCTGTATGATAAGTGGAGCTGATAAAATGGACAATGACTGTAGATACAAGGAAATGTACAATGTAAGTGGCCAGTCAGTATATTTTCTGCAAGTTAAAAAACTATTTTTTTGTGTTTTAACAGAAATATTAGGATTATATGTGTGTACAGCTGTTCAAAGCATTTTTGAGTTATGCCTAAAATTAGCTAAAACTGTTACTACCGAAACTATCACTAGTGAAACATTTGGTAATATTTTGGTAGTGTTATGATTGTTTTCATAGTGTCAAAATGGAATGTTCATTCGTTTGTTTTAATAAAATAAACATAATGAAGATATAGAATCACAAAGAGCTAAAGGATGTTAGTTAATTTACTTAATGGTCTGAAATGTGTTGTTTAAACTCTGACTTCCCAATTCAGTAGAAAAATCTATATAATGGCAGTTTGTTGATGGAAATTAACGCTGCACTCAACCAGCTGAGATTCGATTGTTAGTCTCAAATACTTACACAGAAAAGAAATGGATCACACACTGAAAGCTCAGTGCTATATTTGTAAAAAACAGTGTCATAAAAACACATGTAAATAAAAAAGTTCTGTTACAAATAGTTTTATGTTGTGTTATGTTTTAGGGTCTGTATTCTCCCAGTGTCTTCCCACCACACACCAAAAAGTTTGAACACCCCTAGTAAAATGATGTTTTGTTGATTTTGTAAGTGAAAATAAGTTAACACATCCCCTACAAAATATAAAATTTGATCAGTTTTGCACTGACCACATTTTATGTTTTATTTTTTTTCCAATGTGTTAAATTCAGCCAATAAGTGTGTTTAATAATTGTGTATTTTAATGTGCAGAAATGTGTTTTCTTTAGAAGATGTGTAAAATTATTTTTACTTAGATAAATCAACCAAACCTGTCATTTGACCTGGGGCGCCCAAACTTTTACAGACTGCTGTGGGAAACACTGAAGTGTGCTATTTTCTCTTTGACAGGTTCATTCCAAGATGCACAACTCCCCTCCAAAAGAATCATAGGGCCAAAGAATTATGAGTTCCTAAACTCAAAGCGTGGTGAATTTGAGGAGTACCTACAGGTAGCCCACCCTGTTTTAGTTTGCAAACTTGTTTTGTCTGTCATGGTGACCCCTGAATATAATATTAACATGAAGTTATGTCTCAGTGTCAGTGGATGCATCACAGATGTTTAGATGACTTTGACTGCATTGACTACTTATAAGGTGTGTTTATACTTGTATTTAGGTTGCCTTGGTCCAGACCAAAGCAGAAAGTGATACGTTGTTGCATTGTAGTTCTGTTTTACTTATCATTCACACTGACATATTTAACATCAAACTGAAGATGTAAACAAAAGTAATAGGTCACAACTGACTGGGCAGGTTTTATGACGCACAATAACTGACAATGTCCAGCCACCTTTCTGAATCTTGCTGTTCTCTGTTTTGTCTGGGATCGTAGGTTTGATTTATGCCTTGTTTGCCTCTGTCTTGTGACATTAGTGCAACAAGTCCTGAGACTTACTGCGTTCCTTTGGTTTTGCATGATGCAAAGCAGGGCGAAATCCATTTAACAGCCTCAAGTGGCTTACTGCTTTTACACAACAGAGAAACATTGATGCCTTCCAATACATAATGTCATTTATGTGTGCAGTAAAATGGGTTTGTCGGGCATTTTGTAATGACTTCAAATGTGCCTCAGTCTCATTTAAAAAACTATCAGTCTTTGATTACTGATTTAGAGCACATTTTAAAGATGATTACATGAACATGAACGTATCAAATCAGAAACTCGTCTTTTCTACATAACAGAGACGTTCTGCAGAGAGGAGACAATGGTTCATTCTGTCTCATCTTTGATCTGTTTTGCATTCAAACTGCCTTTAAATGAACCACACCAGAGTTTGTTTTGAAGTGAAATCAAGAGCGACCTGAACGCACCCTTAGATTATAGTTTAGACCAGGGGTCGGCAACACACGGCTCCGCAGCCACACGCGGCTCTTTTACTGCCCTGTTGTGGCTCCACAGCAGAATTGGATTTTTAGGTAAAAATAAAATGGCAGTAAAATAAAGCTCTGCTGATCATTTTAACACAGTTTAACAATAAATGATCTTAAACTCTGGACTTAATAAAGCCTATATCTGCTAATTTACCAAACTTTAACCATGAAGGTTGACGTACAGACTGCTGGTCACCATAACAACACAAACAACTATCTCGCCTAGCTTGTAGCTAACGAAAAGGCAAAGAGAAAGATTTAAGACGAACATCTATAATTTGGAGACGGTTTGACTTATTTGCATTTATATTCACTCTAGCTTGTTTCCTGATACGTTTAATCTGCAACAAGAAACTGCCAAACACTGAAAAGTCACGAAGCTCATTCGGCAGCTTCTTGCTTGAATTTTCTCGTTCCTTCTTCAGCCTCGTAAAAAGACTAAAAAGAAAAAATGTTGAGAAACATTTTACAAGAAACTGTTCTACTTTTGTGGAAGAGTTTCCTGCCAGAGATGCAAGAAAAGCTATAGCTGAGCTGAAGCTTAAAGCAGAGCAAAGAGTCTGCGTTTTTGTTTATAATTTTTAGTCTATACTAGGACATGAGCACATGCTGAGATATATTTACAGCCAAGATGGTAAAATGGACATAAAATGTTGTGGCTCCCAAGGTGGTTTTATTTTTTTGAAAGGACAAAATGGCTCTTCTTAACATTTGGGTTGCAATCCCTGGCTTAGACAAACTGTACTAACGGTAGTGCAGTGTAGATTACATTGCAAAGCCACAAATGCATTGTTTCCTTCTTGTTCCGTTATTCTGATGATGTGTAGCCATATGTTTGGCAGTCTAGGTTAAATGTCCGTCTTGGTGAGGAAAGATTGCACGTGTCATTTTTTTCTTACATGTTTGTTTTGCAGAACCTGCTGCGACATCCTGAGCTGAGCAACAGTCAACTTCTGGCAGACTTCCTCTCTCCGAACAGCATGGAGACACAGTTCCTCGACAAGATGCTGCCTGACGTCAATCTGGGTGCGAGAAACTCCTCCATCACCCACAAACACATGGTGTATGCAAAGGTTTTGGCACCCCTGGCCAATATGTTTTGTTGATTTTTGAAGTGGAAAAAAGAAAAGAAAGAAAACACAAATTCTTTCACACAGCTGTAGACACACTACGGTTCAAGTGTTTGGAAACACTGCATTTACTGACACAAAACTAATTTTGTTGCTGATACATGTATAAACTGATTCTCATATGATATAAATTGACAGTCCAAAAAATGAGTATCTAGATTTTTTGCGATTTTTAGATTTGAGCTCAACAGCTACCCTTTTTATTCTGTTTGAATAGCTGTTTGTAGTAATGTAATTTTGGGAAATTACTATAATTACATAATTACTCTAAATAAATATAAATAAATACAGTATTATTTAATAGCATTTACTGTTTCTTGTCATGTTATAACTTTTCGGCGTTCTCAGAACAGTCGGTTTATGTTTTGGTTTCCAGTGTATGAGTTATTATTTAATTACACTGTGATTCCACACATTTTAACTGTACTGAGGAGCACATTTACATATTATGACAAATGCCAGCCAAAATGCTGCACAACAAAATCAAGTAATTTCGAACAAAAATACAATAAAATAATAATAGGACACACCTACAATAACAGAGTGCTACATCTAGTTCAAACACTAGTGACTCAGTGTGGGTGTGAAAATCCTCTCTGTCTAGTTTTACCACTACCTAAACTCCTTACAACTACCTAACTCCTAACTGAAACTGCAAAGCCTGTAATTACAGCTATAAATGTATGTCTTAATAGCTTAGCTTTTTGTACACATTAAGCCTGTTGAGGTTTTAAACACTGTCAGTTGGGGCTTTGCTCTATAAGTGCTTTTTTATTCTGTGCCCAAAGAACCAGCTCCCTAACCTCATGATGACACATGCTTATGTAGCTTATATGTAAACATTTCTTGTTTCTTGTATGTTTTTGGTTGCAGGAAGGATTTTTAAATCAGTACCAGGGAAACTTATCAAGGAGGTGAGTGTTAAGATGTGTAAATATCTATTATAATTATTGTTGTTGTTGTTATAGTAGATTAACACAAGTACCCCCCCTCATCATTGCCATAATTTAACTTTTAATTTAATCTTCAAAAACAGCGAATAAAATGCCTCTTAATTCTCTGAGTGTAAAGATACAAAAAAATTCTGAATTTGATTAAATACAGCTGGTATTTAATACAGTGGTGTGTTGGTTAGGGCTGCGACAAGCATTTAATAATAATAGATAAGTTGGTAACACTTTATTTGGGTGGTCCACTATAGATATTTTGTAGATGTTCAGTATATCTTTATCTAATATTCAACTAAATATCTATTAAATGCAACTGAACTTGTAGTTGTGTGTGAAAGACTCTGTCCCCAGCACTGAACCTACCCCTAACGCTAACCTCAAGGAAAAACCTACACCTGCTAATAGACCTAACACTAACCTTAATGTTGTTGATAATCAACTGAGTATCACCAGAAAGTTTGTTAGTAACATATGTATCTGTAGATCATCTATAGGGGACCATCCAAATAATGTGTGACCAATAAATTTGATCATTAAAATATTCAAAATGGAGAAGCCATTCCAGTAACAGCCATGGTTTATCACTTTTATGAACTTTGTGATTTGGCACAGCTTGTGAGACTCTTGCAATTCTAGGCAACCTTATCAGTTTTAACTCCAGGTGCAGTCCAAGCAAGTTTCCTACTCCACCGCTGTTAAAGCCAACATGGCTGAATTTGTTGTTTGCTCCGGTATAACGCTGCTTGGAATCTCTTAAAAACCCTCATCACTCCCCGCTCACTGACAAGAGTTCACCAAAAAGTTGTTTGCATTTTTAACACAATGGTTGTGGTCTCCACCAGTGCTCACTGCTGTTCAGAGCCAGATCAGGGTTGCCAGATTGAGCAGGATCCACATTATAATACAGCTTCTTATGAAATATGATGTGAAGTGATGTTTTTTCTTCATTACCTTATAATAGTTCAATTACATTTTTGAAAAAGCACAATAATTTAATAGGATTTATACAATAGCACAAAAAGGCAATGTTTTTCTATACAGTTAATAAAATGAAAAGTTTTGCTTGTAATTATTAAAGAATATTTGAATATTTGAGATAATATTCAATGGAATATTCTAAAATGAACACATTTGATAGTTGCTGTTTTCACAGCACAGCATGCAGGCATGCATATTAGGAGCATAACAATGCACACATTTTCAGGCCTGGTACAATTTTTAATTCCAAGGTCAAATTTCAGTTTGGTTTTCGATATTTTGTATTAGCAGTGGGCAGCATACCGGATCATCCAGTATACCAGTTGAAATTCTTCTTCATGAGTTTTGTCATAACTGTTGCGCTTGTTTCCTCTCTTACTGACTCACTCAGTCAACTACATCGGGCAACACCTTGATGTTGCGTCAAGAGAAATGGCTTGAGAAATTCATGATTAAGCTGAGTTGGCTTCTCATTCACCAGCTTCTTACTCAGATTTCTCGTTCCAACCTAAATGGTACAGCAGTTACTGCTGCTACATTTAAGGTGGTATGGACAATTTGAACATGAAGCCGGCAGATGAAAAGCCAGCTTTAGGCTCTTAGAAATTTGGATGTTAAACAACATTTAGCAGCATTTTTGCAACGTCCAGAGAAGCAGCTGCGTGCTTAGTGTTAGAAAGCAGTATTGACGCACTCTGACAGGCCACTTTATTAAGTACATCTCCTTGTTTCTGCACTCATTGTTCATCAGCTCCAATTACCATATAGGAACACTTTGTAGTTCTACAATTACAGACTGTAGTTCATCTGTTTCTCTGCATACTTTGTTAGCCCCCTTTCACGCTGTTCTTCGGTGATTAGGACCCCCACAGGACACATTTCCTTTTAAACACCACAGTGTCACTGCTGGACTGAGAATAGTCCACCAACCAAAATATCCAACCAACAGCGTCCTGTGACCACTGATGGAGAACTAACTAGAAGAAGGAGAGCTATTGTCTTTGACTTTGATCTGTAAGCTAGACCAACAAGGTAGGAGTGTCTAATAGAGTGGACAGTGAGTGGAGTCTTTCACCGCTGTCTGATCCACTTGCATGCAGAGAAACAAGTGGACAACAGTCTGTAACTGTAGAACTAGTGAACCTATTTCACATTTACTTTAGTTGTTAAAAACAGTTAAATATCCAGACCTTAGATATTTACATGGATTTTGTTATGATCTATTTAAACCCATGGCTTTAATTAAGATAGTAATAAGCTAAATCTATACAAAATACAGTTTTTTGAAAGATTTTTAAAATTTATTTTAAAGTGAAGTTGAAAGATTCAGATTTATCAGGAGTTAAATTATTAAATTAAAAAACTTAATTCAAAAAATGCTGTCCAATATTTTCACATCACCAACAAAGCACAAAGAGTGGACACTAAAGTTCATAGGCAGGGACTTATTTTAGCCACGTGCTTTTAGAGCAGGAAGTGACACTGCATTTCTGTCCCTCTTGGCCACATGGCGAGCAGTGAGATCTCATTGGGCCTTCATCAGCATTTCTTAAGAACAAATTTCTTTTTAAAACCCACACAGTTTTAAAAGCCAAATTTCTTCTTAAAACCCACACAGTTGTCTAGAGGATTTTCACATTCAGTGTTTTCTTATTTGGAGTTAGTTCCTAGGTAAAAACAGAATCTACACACACTCAAGACCACAAAAGTGTGAACAGTTCTGCAGTTTAAGAACACGTCATGAATCGGATGTAGACTTTTTCTTCGGAACTTTCTCAAGAACAAATTTAAGAAAAAACTTAGAGGAAGATATAGGAATGAGGCCCAGTGTTCTGAAGTGTCTCAAAGTCTGACGATCAGTGTGTCACATTAAGAATTGTCATTACTAAAGCACATATTTCTGTTTATATTTTTTATCGTAATGAAAGATTTTATGATGTTGTCTGTTCAAAGCTGTGTTTGCTAGTCATGTGCTGGTTAGGGTTTTTGAGTTAAGTCTCTGTAGTGTCATGTTATGTGTTTTGTTAAGGACAGAAAGCAACATTCAGTCATTTTCATTGTTTTAATGAAATAAACATAATTAAGGTATAGGGTTGCTTAAGTAAAAGGATTTTAGTCTAAAGTCCTCGTCAGTTAAAAGTTCTTTGAACCAATCTGGAAGAATGATCCATTAAAAAGTGAAGAATGCAGAATGATAAGCCACTGTTAACCTACAAAAATGGGTTTACTTAAGCACCTTAAACAGTTTTATATATACACCAGAAACTTTTATCATGCCACGATACACATTTTCGGCCATACTGCCCAGTGCTATTTTGTAAGTTTAAAAAAAACAGAACTTCAATTATATTTTACACAGATTAGTTTGCTCAGATACATAAAAGCTCCCCAAGTGAACTTTCTCGGTTCCTGACATGCTGCCCTCTAGCAAAATAAACCCTTTGAAGAACAGTGGTTCCCACAAATGATGGTAAATGAGACACCCTTGTAAGAAACTAAGGGGCGTAATGATACAGCAATGTACAATTTTACATCACGATACACTGTTTCAAATTTGATTTTCTGATACATGTTGAGATCGTGTATGTATGATTATCTGAAAAGATCAGTGGTGTCTGACTGTAACTGTAACTAAGCAATAAGCTGTTCTCTTGAGTTGTGCGTCTGTGTTTTGTGACCATGAAGAAAGGGCAGAACCTGGAGCCGTTCCTCCAGTCCTTCTTCGGCTCATGTGAGTCTCCTAAACCCAAACCCAGCCGTCCCGAGCTCACCGTCCTCAGCCCCACCACCGGAAACAAGAAGGTACAACACACTTTTTTCACCCATTACATTGTTGATTTTCCAGACAAACCAGGTTTTTTGAGGCACTCCCATAAAATTTAACCTAACCACGGATAGTATGTTTTGAAAAACGGTCTCTAAATTGGGATGAGTCAGTGGATTGTTTTTTTCTGCACCCATTTTTTCAAAACACTGGTGAATGATATCAAGGAAGAAACACTCAAAAGACAAAAAGCAGCCAATTTCTATGGGTACATACAGTCGTATGCAAAAGGTTGGGCACCCCTGGTTAATTAACATCTTTTGTTGATTTTCAGAGTGAAAATAAGTTTTTGGAGAATACACTTCTGCACTTTTTGTGCCATTGTGCAAATGGTTGATTTGCTGAATTAAAAAAATAAATAAAAAATGTGGCCTTTGCACAATGTTACGTTTTATGTTTTTTTTTCAGGGTGTTAAACTCTCTGTACTCTGTAGAGGATGTGTTAACTTTTTTTCATTTCAACAAAACATCATTTGAGCAGGGATGTCTAAACTTTTATGTATGACTGTACATATCTTTATCTGTAGAAGTGACACTTTCTGTATTTGCCTCAGCTTTTCAACGAGCTTTACAAAAACAACGCCGACCAGCCGGACAGCATGGACAGAAGACAAAACCAGAACTACTTTCTGGAGGTAATGGATCTGGAGGGCGTTTATGACTACATGATGTATGTAGGTAAGTTCCAGCACCAGTGGGTCCAGTACTAAGCAGGTATTCACATGAAGCCTATATAGACTCTCTAAAGCCTACACACTTAAAAGTGATGGTTCTTAAAGGGTTCTTTAGTAAATAAAAAAATGGTTCTGTATAGAACCATGAACACTCAAAGAACCTTTTGCTTCAAAATGGTTCTATATAGAACCATTTTGAAAAGGGTTCCATATAGCACAAAAAAGGGTTCTTCTATTGTAACAAGCTTGACACCATAGAAGAACGCTTTTTGGTGCTATATAGAACCCATTTTGAAAAGGTTCTATATAGCCCATTCTCCATTAATCTGAAGAACCCTTTCATGATGCAAAGAACCATTTAATCATGCAAAGGGTTCTTTGAGCTTTCGTTCTACATTCTATATAGAACCATTTTCTTTACTAAAGAACGTTTGAAGAACCATCATTTTTAAGTATGTACTTCTTCTCACTGGTTTCTGTGGAACATTGCACGCTTCTACACCACCAGACACACTTCACAATTTTAAAAACATGAACTTTGATGCTGAGCACCAATAAAAGTGCCATAAATCTTCCACAACGGACCAGTTAATGTTGAGGATGCCTTCTCTTTAGTCTCTCATCCAGCATGGACAGAAGGCTGGTTGTGGCCTGAAGACCTGGAAATGTTTAACACTCTATACAGTGTTGTTGAGTATTATTTATATTTAATGTTATATGTACCAGTTTCAAAATATTTATTGGTTGTCTCTGTTTTTCGCAGTTCTCCTTATTCCACTGTTTTTTCAAAATTTCTGCATAATTAAATTCTTGAGTTGTAAACACAGTCATTTAGAGGAGTTTGATGTGAAATGCCATGTTGTAGAGAAAAACTTAATGACTGATTTTTTTACAATCATGGTGATGGGAAACAGGGGTTAAGGTGGCTACAGTGCAAATATAACCATTTTATTCCATATTCAAAATGACCAGTGAACCTGCATATGTAATGTTGATTATTGTAAATAAGGCTAAAAAGGATAATGTTTTGCCTTACAACAACCTGCATGCAAGTCTCCGCCCAAAATGGATGTTAACACGTTTATCTCAAAACCAGAGGCAATGAATTTGTAATTATTCCATTTTCCTTTTTTGTGAGGTCGCTTTCAGAGGCATTGAACTCTTCAGCAACTGGTTACCTTTCACCACAAAAGTGAACAATTCTGACATGTCAGTTTTTTCTAGAATAGAGAGTTTCACACCAAACTCTGTTTTAAGTATGAGATGTATGCATCACACGTTTAAAAAGGCATCATTTTAACACCATAACGTTTTTTTTTAAACAGTCTACACAAAGCTGCCTTGAGAGAATTGTAATCCTTTCCAGTTTCACCCTGACATACCTACACCTGATGGTTTATAATCTGAGATCAGCGGTGTCCTCACTGTAATCCCATTCAGAACAATATGCTATTTCTGTCCTTTCTGTAATCCCATCCTGAACAGTGAGCTGTTCCTGAAGAACATGGCTGATGCATTATATGTTGAAAAAGAGATTCCAGACAAATTCTACTAATTAGTGGATGCAGCTAGTTTAAGGTACACGCCAATAAATGTGCGCACATAACCCTGTAATTTCCATAGAAAAGCATTGCGGATAGAATGGGACAATCTGGAACAGCCTCAAATATGCCTGCGGTCTCCAAATTATGCTAGCATTGGGCTGTGGAGCAAAGGAACTAATCCAACATTAGGATCTGGTCTCGCTAATGCTCTTGTGGCTGATGCAGTCAAATCCCAGCAGTATCATTCCGACATCTAGTAGAATGCCTTTCCAAAAGAGGCTGTTTTTAGATGAAAGAGATAACTAACTAATTATTAATACCTTTAATTTCTTAATAAATGTAAGCAAACAGGGTTTATGGATACTGTTAGACATATACAGCCAGTTTCCTGCACATGGATTAAGTCTAGCGTCAAACTAAATTGCAATGCCAGTAATGAGACACTATTAAAAAAAACTTTTTAGTTCTGATTTGAGTCTGGGAAATTTAGTAGGGTTGCACCAATACTGATACTGAATCGGTAAATGCAGTACCGATACCGCAGAGCAATTTCTAAGGGCATGTGTGCTGCTGACTGAGGCATATATGCTCCCCAGCAGGCTCCAAAAGCCAACTCGTGCATAAACTCAGCAATATTTCTGATGATATCAGTTTTTTAGCCTTAGCCACACTTGGGTAGAACACTATCGTAAAATGCAGAAAAAAAGCTTAAAAAGCTAAAAAGCTTCATGAGTTTTCAGTAAACCTAGACTTTCAAGGCATGATCTTGATATAGGCCGAGAAATACAGCTGAATGCCTGTGACCTTGAAACTTTGACATTATACACTTTGGCAAACCTACATTGAGTTTTATAATGTAGACCATGTATGGCATCTTTTATTCCCATATATGTATATGAACTGAGCATGATGTACATTCCAGCCTCAATTTGTGAAATTTAAGTTGCTATTATATCAAGGCTTTTGAGGTTTTTAACACAACCAAACTGTGCCTGCCGTCCAGAGACACAAACCTCAAATCCAAAAAAGGTTGTGACAGTGTGTGAAACACAAAAGTAAACAAAAAGCAGTGATCTGTAAATCCAATCTGACCAGTAAACAAAAACAGTACAAAGGCAAGCTATTTAATGTTTTACCTTATTAACTTAATAGTTTTTTTGTATACAGACTCATTTTGAAATTGATGCCTGCAACTTGTACCAAAAAGGTTAGAACAGAGGCCATTAAAGAATAAGAATTTTCAAGAAATAACTTAAACATATGATGCTATCATACTTGAGTATAAAAGGAGCATCCAGGAAAGGCCTATTCTTGATGAGCAAGGATGGGTCAAGGCTCACCACTCTGCCCAAAAATGTGTTAATTGATAATTCAACAGGTTAAGAACATTGGGCCTAATTCACCAATATCTTCCTCAGCATTTCTGAAATTTGTTCTTAAGAAAGGTCCTGGGAAAAAGTCTATGTCAGATTACTGACGTGTTATTACACCACAGAACTGTTCACACCTTTGTGCTCTTGAGTGTGTGTAGATTCAAATCCCAAATAAGAAAAATGTAGGTGAAGGCCCAGTGTACTTTAGCGAGTGATTTTATGTTTCACCCTCTGAGGTATATAATATCATCAAGAGGTTAAGAGGATCCAGAGAAACATACCTGTATGTAAAGGACAAGGCTGAGAAATACAGCTGAATACCTGTGACTTTGAATCCCTCAGATGCTGTTGCCTTAAAAACTGGCATGCCTGAGGAATACTTTGACGAACCTTCATCAATAAACCCAGTTTATTGTTTACTTGTTCGTCCACAAATGCAAGTTAAGCCATATGTCAACAACATCCAGAAATGCTACCAACTTCACATGGCTCGAGCTCATATTTAATGGTCTGATGTTTAATGGAGATGCTGAGAGAGTCATCCTTTCAGATTAATGAAACAAGGTTAATGGAAAAAGAGGCAAAGTACCATCCAGAGTGTTTCCAGCATAAAGTTAAAAATCCAGTGTCATGGTATGGGGGTACATTTGTTCTCATGGCATGTATAACTCACATCTGTAAAGGCACTAATTAATTATTAATACTGAAGAATAATACACATTTTGGAGCAACATATGCTTTTACAGGGACACCACCCCACATTCTGTAATAATCAGAGTGAGGGTGCTAGACTGGCTTGCGTGCAATACAGAACTGTGCTCCTCCTCAACATGTTTCTGTTTTATTATCACTTCATACACTTTTCCCTTTTTGCAATTGAGGTTTATAGGTTTTATTTTTAAACTGGTTTTGCGCAGTGGCAGTGGTGGGGTGGGGCTCGGGCGTATCCACCCACCCCGCCAGCACGCTCCTGATGTAGGTATATATGTTTGTTTGTGTCAGGTCGCGTGGTGTTTCGCATGCCCGACTGGCTGCACCATGTGCTGTGTGGAGGTCGGATACTGTTTAAGAGAACGCTGGAGGCTTACATGGACCACTACCTTCAGTCCAAACTGGACAAGATCCTCAAGGAGCACCGCCTCGTCTCTCTAATCACTCTCCTTAGAGGTCTGTAGTTGTGTTTACTTGAATACCTACGATTGTATATGGTCGGATCTGCAAACAGTCATGTATCTTTATCTCTCTCACTCTTTTTTCCATTGCCTCCTCTTCCTCCCTCAGTCTTTCTCGTGAATATTGACTTAGAGTATTTGAATACTAAACAAGATCTGCAAGATAGCAGACCTTTTACAGCTTGAAGGCACAATGCTTTTTCATCCTGACATGCAGGGGAGGATGTGGTGGTTCTGCTCTGGCACAATGAAGCTTTGATAACATCCTTATCTAACTAACCTCGATAAAATGATTAGTCTGTAAGTGGAGACAGTGGTCATGCACATCATGCTGTCTCATTCACTGTAGACATTACAGACACAAAGGTCAGCTGTCATTTCTGAGCTTTTCTGAGAACTGAAACTGCAACCCTACAGTTTCTCTCTGCCTGTCTCTCTGTCCAAATGATTCTGCAGCGGTCAGTAGTATTGATGTAACCAAATGCATTATTCTGAATGTACAGAAAATTAGCCGTATCTGCTAAATGTTTGCAGTGGCACTAGTGCATGCTGCTATGCAAAAGCAGCCTCAACTGATCTTTTTAACTGTATACAGGAGCCTCGACTGTTCAGGTGCAAAAATAGAGGATGAACGTTTTACTAAACCTGAAGCTGAGCAAGAGGCAAAAGAGAAAAGAAAAACAACAATGGACACAGCACTGAAGGCACATGACAAGAAAAATGAAAGAGAGAATGTTACATCAGAGAATTGCACTTTTTCAGCTTTGCTATTATAAACAAGCTTCTCCTCATGTCTCTTCTGGTCTTGCCATCTGTTTTTCTAGTTCATCCACATTTCTTCTGGTAGTTTCAGTTAATTTCTTGAAGGAGAAAGTGACGAGTCTAAACTTAAGCAGTTTTGAAGCAGAGCTAGATTATTGTTTACAATACAGAGCCATCAGTAGCAACCGCTGCTAGTCATGTTTTAACACCTGCTAACCAGGCTGAGGATAATTCTGTCCAAAGTGATTTTTGTGTGGAAGTGATATATATGCTGCCATATGTAATTTCTAAAATGAGCCTGTAGTTCTATAGCAACTGCACTCAAAGTTTACGGCCTGCAAAGCAGCAGGCAACACAGGCAGTGATTCACATTGCTTCACATGGTGCGCTCGTCCAGATGTAAACAATCATGACTGCTGAAGAATGCAGATCCGCTCCTGAAGGGTTCAGTTTCATCTTCGCCAGCACCACAGGAGCGATCATGAAGCTTCATTGGTTGACAGCTGGGCTCATCACCCAGAATGTGTTTGAGCTCGCTGTAAAAGTGCATGTTATTCAGGCACGGTCACTTCTTTGGTTTGCTTCTTCGGATTCTTTAAACTTTGCTCTCAAACTTTCCTTGACGCTGCGGCCTCGTTCTCCTACAGCTGCATTCAGTCATTTCTTTCAAAATCTCTCCAAACACAGAGCAGTTAAGATAAGCACCTTCTCATTTTTTGGTACAGAAACATAAAGGATTACGAGCGCGAATGTTGAGTTGGATTGACGTAAAAGTTGCATGAATTCCGATCTGGGCTGTTCAGAGTCGCATTGCAGCATATCGGATACGTTTTGGATTTCAGTACCACATATGAAAGGGCCTCGAATCGGAATTGAAAATGTCAGATTAAGTGTGTTTTTTGCTTTTCACTCTGCCACACACACAACACTTCTGTGCCACATATGAAGAAAAAGATCAGATTTGGGCCACTTTTACCTGCTGTGTGAACAAAGCCAAATACACACCCGATTCGTGGTCATGTCATATCCTACATTTTTCTTGTTTTTTATTTTGTGCCTTAAGATCCACTTATGACAGTGTGCCTCATTCACCAGTCATTCTTACAAAGAAATTACTTCTTAAAACCCACTTAGGTAAGAACAGAATCTACACACACGAAGGTGTGAACAATTCTGTGGTTTAAGACCATGCCAGACTATTTCTTAGGACCTTTTTCAAGAACAAATTTAACAAAGATATTAGTGAATGAGCCCCATTGTCTTTTTAGTGGTTTTATTTGCCAAAAATGGCCATTTTCCAACCTCTCTTTATACCTAAAATGAAACAGGCTGTTTTTGTGACTTGCATATTTTTTATCTAAAAGGCGCAGACAAAAAAATACAAGAACTCTGTTTTATTTGGCTGCCCTGTATTTTGTCTTACTTAAAAGCACTCAGAGCTGAAACACTGCTTACTTGAGTATGAATAGGTGGGGCTAACCTGCTGTAGGCTGAATGTAAATGAGCTGGTTCTCATATCACATCATAGAAACAGTGAATTCAAAACTGGCTGTTTTTGCAGCTTAGTTTCCACATATGGATCATATGGACTGGGTAGTGAGTGGACATTTTGAAACTTTAACAACATTTATATTTCTTTAAATACATACTTCAAAAGCAAGGGAAATTCAGTCCATAAGATGGGCCTTTTAAGAACGCTCAGATCGGAATTCATTTGTTTTTCCTTCTGCACGTCCTGCACTGGCAGCAGGCTAACTTGCAGCTTCTGCCAGTAAATGCTGCAGAACATGAAAGCATCTGGTCTTTTTTCACATTCTCCTGCAATCATGAACAGCTGAGAGCTGTGCAGAGTGAATCCTTGTAATGAACGCTTGTGCATCTAGTCTGTTCATTTGCTGCTGCTGGTGATAACACACATGATGAATGTGATACTATTAATTGGGATATGCATGTGCAACTAGTTTTAGGGCACATTAAAGTCAGGTATGGGTCATATTCCCTCACGAATGTGAACCACCAAGGCAAAAAGATCAGTTCTGAGCAAAAGATCAGATGCACGTTGCCATTGAGCACTAAACAGATACAAACTGTAAACTGTAGTTTATTTGCTCCCAGTCTCCTCATATTTCTTTTGCACCATGCTGGAATGTACTTTCCAGGATTCATTGGCCATCCTAGCCCCTTTGCAAAAGAATAAAGGGTCTCCTTCTCACGTTTCATTGTGTTGAACCTTTTCAGATGCGGTGTTCTGTGAGAACAATGAAGAGCGTTCTCCTGAGGACAAACAGAGAAGAGCCAAGCAAACCTTTGAAGAGATGATGAACTACTTACCAGGTTGGCTCTCATGCAATGGAATACTGACAATGATGGTGAAAATATGGCTGTTTTTGTTGTTGTAGACTCCCCATCAGAAACTCATTTATCCTGCTGTAATTTTATTGTTGTCTGCATCACCAACAGTGGTGGGGGGAAAAATCGAAAAATCGCGATGTGGACGTGAACGATTCTGAATCGATTCACAAATGTCAAAAATCGATTTTCTAAATTTTAATTTGTAACTTAATGTTGACGGAATGCAAAAGGCGGAACTTGGAAGTGCGGAAGTGCAGCACCCGGACAGTCTGTGGCGGCACATAACAAAAACACAACTGGATGAGCGAGAAATCCAATCTGTACCCTCTGCATTAAAAGCCAGGTTAGGTCAGGAGTCGATAACCCAAATGTTAAGAAGAGCCATTTTGTTCTTTAAACAAAAATTAAATGACCTTGGGAGCCACAACATTTTATATCCAGTATGTCTCAGTATGTGCTGATGTCCTAGTATAGGCGAAAAATATGAACAAAAACGCCGACTTAGTTTGCTCTGCTTTAAACTTTATCTGTAGCTGCTTTCCTCCCATCTCCACCAGAAAACTTTTCCTCAAAAGTTGAATAGTTTCTTGTAAAATGTCTCTCAACGTTCGACTGTTTTACGAGGCTGAAGTCGCTTCTTATTCGCCAGCTTCTTGCTCAAATTTTCCTGTTCCACCTTAAATTCTGACTGAGGTGCCAAACGTAAATGCGGCACCATTTAAGGTGGAACGGGAGAATTCAAAAGGGAAGCTGACTTCATCTTCTCAACTTTTTGGTGATTGACAGTCTCGTTGCAGATTTAACGTATCAGGAAACCAACTGCGCTGCTTATACATGTTTGTCTTAAATCTCTCTCTTTGCCTTTTCGTTAGCTACTGGCTAGGTGAGACTGCGTTGCTCTGTGACCTGCAGTCTGCACGCCAGTTCTCAGTCATTGAGAACCAGGGCTTTCGCGGTATCTATGATATTTTACTGACGCAGCGATCCCCCGTCTCTACAACGAGACCAAAACCGAAGTTATGAAATCACTAAAGAAAACGGGGAAGGACGGCTGTAACGTGCTGCGTGGACATCTATTGCCACTGGATCTTATGTCACTGTAACAGCGCATTTTATCACAGATGAGTGGCAGCAGCGTCTCATGTGCTCCAAGAGCAGTGAATGAGAGCCTTCCAGTTCACTTACCACATCACTTCCATTTGTTTTATTAATAAACTATATTGGAAGTAAATTCATTATGGATCATTACAAATACTTTGCTATAAAAGTGCCAAGACATCACACAGTGAGGAAATAGAAATCCTGTATAGAAAAAAAGATGCATCAAGATGCATTGATAATCGTTTTATAATCGGATCACAGCCCTCTGAATCGTAATCGAATCGAATCGTGAGGTGCCTAAAGATTCCCACCCCTAATCACCAAGGAGGCATGTGAATACTTTATTACAGACGTCATAAACATAAATATCTCGATAACATACCCCAGCATGAAATAAATAAGGACAAGAACTCGGCTAGATGACACTGATATGAGCACTCATCTGTCCTTTTAGATATCGTTGGAAAATGTATAGGAGAGGAGAACAAATCGGAGGGTATCCAGTTACTCTTCAACTGCATTCAGCAGCCTCTCCTCAACAAGCAGGTACTGAGAGAGGAGTGTCTGATTGCTTAACGCTACAGAATGCTGTTTGTGATGTGTCATTTGTTTCTTGAACTTTTCTGTTTCTCCATTTGTATTAAGATGACATACGTACTGCTAGACATTGCTGTTCAGGAGCTGTTTCCAGAACTCCATTCCAGCACGGTAAACCTCAGACCAGTACAGTCCTCAATAACATACATGCAGACTTGTCACCTTTCGGTGAAATTCGGCGTTTTGAATGCGCTTTATGCCATTCACATGATTGGTGCAGATTTTAAGAGGTTTTAATTTTAGAAAGGGGGGGGCATAAATACAATATTTTTTTATAGTACAGTCAGATAATGTTAAAGAAATGAGTGAGCGGTTAAGTTGGTTTCATATTTTTTTTATTCAGTAGCTTTCAAATAGTAGATGAAAAAAGGTTAATATGTAAATTATAATTAGCAACCAAGACAGTCAGCTTCCATTTAGTTAGGACTGTAACCAATATAAGAGCTTAACAACTGTCAACAGATTATATAGCAGTGTAGTAAGTGACAGTCATTGGGGTCCAAGCATTCTGTGCATCGTGGAGCTGTACAGGACTTTTAGAAGATAGAACACAAATAATGGGTGAAATTTTTAGAAAGGCCTCAGTTTATAACAGATGTGGGGTCTAAAAAGAAGATTTCTGCCAAATTTTAAACACGCTGACATTTTAAACAAATCAAAACGCCCAGTAGAGAGTACAATTTTTGAGCATGACTTGTATTGGCAGTTGTTCAGCTCAATGACCTAAATAATTCAACAGCAATTACCCCTGGGTTTTAGTCTCACACTTAAAAGTTCTCCTAGCTGGAACCCGCTTTTTCACTGCTCATGTCTGAATAAAATCTTATGCAGAAACAGGGTACAGTCATGATTTGCAATGCATTTTGAGGTTTCCACTATGTTTTTCTTGTCTCTTCATACAGAAAGACGGTCCTTCCACTAGACGGATGTAAATAATATTCAGATGTTTTCCCGGGAATCTGAACTGTCTGGGGACGTATTGACATTCCTGTGTTTATTATTGCACTACTGACATACAAAAATAAATATATTTATTAATCATTTTATCACTGTGAGATTTTATTAACAGATTCATACAGCAAAAACAAACAAAAGGGAAAGAAAAAAGTTTTAAGTATTTAGGACATTTAGGGAGTCATTATGAAAGACTATATTTTTGACCTTACTTACCTTCAAATGCAGTCAACTCTGTTACACTGATCCAATCCAGTGCACCCAAATTGTCATAGCTCAAGTGTTAATGCTTTACCCAAGCCATTACCTTCCCAAGATACTTCCTGCTTCCAGGAATAACAAGTTGAGCCAATCCCTGCTTACTGTCCCAGAAGAACAAGACCGTGAGTGATATAGTCTGTCTTAGGATACAGTGCATCGGACATGCAATGCTACAGATACAAGCCATGCTGCAAATGCAAAGTGGATGATATAATCAGCTATAATGCTACTGAATCAGATATTACATTTGAGGTTTTAACTTTCAGAGTTTGCAAAGGAAAGGCAGTGTTTGGTAAATGCATCCCTATGCATGAAAAATTCAGATGTGAGGGTTTTATTCTAGTTTAGTTCCCCACATTTCTGGACTTTTCAACTGCAAATGCTAAAAAATACTTAAAAAAAATGAAACAATTTTTTTTTAAATAACTTCAGCGTAGTTGAGACTTGTGTGTGCTTGGTTTAGGGTGGAGTTTTTTATTTACATATTTTCAAAATCTGCAGTAGCAAGGCATTTAGGTTTAGCCTTTTCAACTCCTTGGGACCACCGGGTGGTTCCAAAACGCACGTCGTCATATTCTTCATAACTGTCATATTTCATAAGCTACGTTCAAAAGGGGGGGTGTCATATGAGAGCTGTAACTGTCTTCTTTGCCTTACGATGTGGGCATGTAAATTCAGATGGGAAAAAACAAAATATACCCTGGAGAATAAGAGGTTAGGAATCCCATATATTTGTTCAACATTCCTGCATAATTAAATGGTTTAGATGTAAACAGCCATTCAGAGTGGTTTGATGTGAAATGCTTTGTTCTAGAGAAACTTATCAAGGCGGAACTGTTCACAGTGGTGATGACAGGTGGTGATAGCAACATCCAAGCACAAAGTTTTTACGTGAACTGGTTATATATATGTTGCTTGATGTCTATGACATTGTTTTACAGTAGTTTTTACATTAAAACAAACTTATGGAGAAATCTATTTCCAGTTTTTAAGATTTACTACTATTTTACCATCAACAGTGCATAGAAAACACTTGTAGATTGACTGGACAGTAAATAAAATGGCTATGATTGTGTTGTAAACATTGTAACCCCGTGGTTCCTATCACCACCACTGTAAAGACCCTCTCTGAATGACTTTGTTTACATCTGAATTATGCAGAAAAGAGTTGAGTCGTATCCCCCACCAAAACGTATGTATATTTGGTTGTTGCTCATCACAATGACAACATACTGACACGTTCTGTTTGATATAAATTATCCCAAAATGAATGAAAAATGAAGAGCACACCTTTTTGTCACAGTGTATGTCACCCCAAACTTAAAACACCTTCCAGCTGCCCTGGAAACAATGTGATGTTTTGACCACTAGTGTAAATTATATCTACTGCTGGATCTGTGTGGAACATTTTTAACTGTCTCAGTAAAGTGCCTTCCCCGTGCATTTTATAGATAGGGTCCACATCAAAAACATCTGCAGAGCTAAATCAAGATGTAAAGAAGTTGATCTTTTTGGTGATTTGGTGTGAAATGCATAGTTGTAGAGAAACCTAGCGAGTCAGAACTGTTGATAGATGATGATAATAGGAACCAGACGTGCAAACTTGATCACAGAAAGTTACTGAACTGGTTATAAATAATGCCTGATGTCTGAGTCATTGTTTTACAAGGGTGTTGTACAGCAAAACAATTCTTTTGGTCCCTTCATCATGAACTTCACCTATAATGTAAAGGACACCAGGCCTTTTCAAATTGTGAAAAACTGAAATGTGAAAAACTGAAAAATGTCAATATATATATACACTGATCAGGCATAACATTATGACCACCTCCTTGTTTCTATGCTCATTGTCCATTTTATCAGCTCCACTTACTATATAGGTGCACTTTGTAGTTCTACAGTTACAGACTGTAGTCCATCTGTTTCTCTGCATACTTTGTTAGCCCCCTTTTACCCTGTTCTTCAGTGGTCAGGACCCCCATAGACCCTCACAAAGCAGGTACTATTTGGGTGGTGGGTCATTCTCAGCACTGCAGTAACACTGACGTGGTGGTGGTGTGTTAGTGTGTGTTGTGCTGGTCTGAGTGGATCAGACACAGCAGTGCTGCTGGCGTTTTTAAACACTGTGTCCACTCACTGTCCACTCTATTAGACACTCCTACCTTGTCAGTCCACCTTGTAGATGTAAAGTCAGAGATGATAGCTCATCTGCTGCTGCACAGTTTGTGCTGGTCATCCTCTAGTCCTTCATCAGTGGTCACAGGACGCTGTTGGCTGGATATTTTTGGTTGGTAGACTATTCTCAGTCCAGCAGTGACACTGAGGTGTTTAAAAACTCCAGCAGCACTGCTGTGTCTGATCCACTCAGACCAGCGCAACACACACTAACACACCACCACCACGTCAGTGTTACTGCAGTGCTGAGAATGATCCACTAGCCAAATAGAACCTGCTCTGTGAGGGTCCATGGGGGTCCTGACCACTGAAGAACAGGGTAAAAGGGGGCTAACAAAGTATGCAGAGAAACAGATGGACTACAGTCTGTAACTGTAGAACTACAAAGTGCACCTATATAGTAAGTGGATATATATGTATCACTGGTGGTTTTGGATAGTAAATAAAATGGCTATATTTGTGTTGTAGACATTGTGACCATTCCTCTCACCACCACTGTGAACAAATCAGAGTTCTCAATTCACCAGTTCCCATTAAATCACTCTGATTGACTTTACTTTATCCCCTTTAATCAGAACATTCTGCAATGCATACAGCAACTCAAAGGTATCTGCTCTCTCAGGAGCAGTACGATTTCATTCATATATGAATTGTCACTTTGAAAGCTAGCAGCTGCTCCAGTGGCCTGGCTGCCCTCAGGAAGTCGGAACATATTTCCTATTTCAACCCCATTTGCAATGGAAATGCAGAATATTGGACAGCATTGATATTGTCCACATGTAACCAAGGCAGTTAAAAGGGCACACAGCAGGCGTGGTTAACAGTGATGGATTGTCAACATGAGTAAACATGACTGCTGAAAGTCAGCACTTGCTCACTGTTAGTCACTGTGGTTAACTGACTACAACATGTCTAAAAACTTCAATATTTTTACAAAACATAGGTGCCCTCAAGATCACAGTGGATGGTTAAACAATCAGCAGACACTTTTTTTGTACATAGGGGGTTTTATTACTCTTTTTTGGGGGTGCCAATTCTTGGCATCCATTCAAAAGATTAAAATATACCAACAGATACAATCAAGGCACTGGGTTGTTATTGTTTTGCACACTGTTTTCATCTTTTGTACCACATCTTGTGATGTGTAATACACTATCGCTCAAAAGTTTGGAATCATGTATATTAATAGTTATATGAATAATTTGTGTTATTTACAATAATATACAATGTATATATAAATCTTAAAAATCAAGCACTATATTTTACCTCTTTTTAATAATCTTCAGTTCACTACAATTAACCATGATGCCTTAATTATAGTCTAAAAGACTTAACTGAAACTTTGGAAACTGCCTTCTATATTGGAAATATCTGTTTTTAGCAAGTTCTAAGCTACCTCACGATTTGATCACCACTTTTCAAATACAAGGCATTCCTGATGTTGATTTTTTATAACTTCTTTCTCAATGTTTTTTTCATCATAGAATCATCAGCAGCTTTGTTCATCATTCTGGAATCATCTAAAATTTCCTTTTTCTACTCACTAATTAGTTCAAAACTATGAAATTGCACAGGACTAGAAACGTCATTTCATACATTTACTTAACCCCTGTGTGGTGTTGGGGTCTGGGGGACCCATTTTCAGTGTTGAGCAAAAGAAAAGAATGATGTGATTTATTATTATTTCAACCCCAGATTTCTTGGTCTTTGCTCATTTTCTGTTAAGAACATATAAAATAACCCATTTTCAGTGCCTTCACACTGTTCACCCCCCACACATTTATGTTATACGTGTGGTGTTGGGAGAATCCACGGGGGATGAAGGTGTGGAGGTGCTGTGTCCCTTCACTCTGTTCTCCTCCTACATGGCCTGCTGTTAGTGTGTGCGAGTGTGCGTGTGTGTGTGAGGGTGGACAACATGGACAAGCTGCTGACTGGCGACAGCTGCTAAAGCAGCTAAACGCTGGCCACTTGTGATATTTTAAACATCTGGTATTTTTACATAAATTGTTCTGGCTGTATTGATTTAAAACAATAATGTGGTGGGTCCAGCAGACCACTGAGCAACAAACACATCAACACCACACAAGGGTTAAAATCAAATCGGCTTTAGATTATTGGAATTAGGGATTCCAAACTTTTGAACAGCAGTAAATAACAGCAAGTTACAAACACAACTAAACAGTTTACATATATATATATATATATATATATATATCCCACATTTTCACTTCCAATCTTCAACTTTTCCTTTGACATCTGCACTGAAGCTACAGTGACAAAATGGGAACAAAAAGTAGCCAAAGGAGCATTATGCCTGATCCACCATCAACTGATGGTGGCAGTGACAGAGGAACAATCAGAGCACGCTTTGTCCTCAAAGTCTGGGACCCTGTGAGCTGTGTTCGCTCAGCATTACAATGAATTCACTCTTCATTCAGTGTCTGTTCTATCCTGTGTGTTCAGTTCTAAAGGTCCCACTTTTGTTGTTTAACAACGACTACAGGAAGTCCCGAAGGTACAGAGCCAGAGCGCGGAGCAACAGTTCCCCAGCCTAACCTTTTAAAATCCCCCCCATGAGTAAAAAACAATAAAACAGTCTTATTGATTATGTGGAAAGACATTGGCGTATTGCTGTATACAACCACTTATTTAATGCCTCAAAACTGGAATAGAAAATAAATAGCTGCCAGACAACCATACAAGTATTCTAAATTGTTATTTCATTCACCATGTTATTGCAATACCTACATTTAGTTACAATGGTAATCTCTTCTAGGCCAGGATTTCAGACACCAGATCTTTTAAAAAATAATAGTTTTAAAAAATTCCACTTGTTTCTGACCTGCTGAAATGCAAATCCACACTTACATAATTCATGATCACATCATTAAAAAGACCACGTCACCATTTTGGTAGGCAAGCTGAAACTCTGACTGTGCTCTGATCGTTTCTTTACCATTAGTGCAGTTACAACCCTGCAGGTGGATAAAAACCAAGCAAAATAGACCAAAATGACCATTTAAAAGATTTAAAGACATGCAGACGCTTTAGATGCACTCTCCGGAAAACGCTACAAGGAGAAGATTAGCAGAAGATCATAACATTCCAATCCGTGATATTTTGTAAAGAACTAATAAAAGTGGCCACCAAAGCTGCCAAAGCTCTTAAATAATAAATTCATGCATATATATCAAGCTAAAGTCAGCTTTGTATTAGCCAGCTTCTCATGTGAATTTTCCGTTCCACCTTAAATGGTGCTGCAGTTACACTAAGGTGCCTTGAATGTAGAGTGAATTTCGTAAGTTGGTGAATACGAAGCTAACATCAGTTAACCTCGAAAAAGGCATTAGTTTACCTCAATAAATGAGCCCTAATCAAGAAATACCTCAAACGTTTTTGTTTGGAGATGTTTAAGTGGTAATGAGCTGCTAACAAGCAGCACAGTGAAGCTATAATTAGCCAATGGAGCTGCTGAATGCATCTGACTGGCTGATCTAACGCTGCGTCCCAAACCACACACTGTACTTCACCTACTACACTAATGAGTGCACTTCTAATGGTATACGCGCTGTTGTTTACATACTATTTAGTGTGCTAGTATGCAGTTTGGAGCAATAACATATCAGGAAATCTCAGCCGTTTAGATTATAGCTTTTGTTTGTCATCACTACAACCACAAATCAAATAAAATCAAGTCAGTACACTAAAATACGTTGGTTAATGTGTTTTACAAATTTAAAAGGTGTTTAAAAATGCGTTTTACTGCCTTTGCTGGATCAGTTATGGCTTTGATATCTCTCTACAAACAGCCACAGCAATGAACTTGGAGTTGCCAACCAAAAGGGTGGTAGTGCGATTATGATGTCATCGGAATACTATCAATTCAGGTCATTTCTGATTATGCAGTGGTGTCATAATTATGGTGCAGTGGTTACAATCAGTGATTACATGAGGTTTCATAAGGTAACCACTGCACTCCAATTATGTCCTGCAGTAATGTCTATGGTATTCTTGAGGTTAAACTGCTATTTGCCCTCTAGCATTTCTTCTAGCTTTCAGATTGGAGGATCTGCAAGTATTTGCTGATCTAACACAGTGGCTTTGCCTAAACTCCCCATAGCTATAATAATATTCTTGCACCTCTGCTGGGTATCTATGGTCATGAAGTATATACTGTCAAAATCAGTAGTGAACAGACAATCCAGACATAGCCAGAGGATAAAGATAGAGCTAATCTCACTGGCTCATACACAGTGCCCATAGCAGCGCAAACAGCAGGAGAGCCATGGTGGGACTTGGTTGTCCGATGGCAGAGTTGAAGATGAGGATACGGCCCTCCACTGTGGGGTGAACTCTCTTTCTCTCTGAGATGTAGCTGGACACCACAGATATGTCCAGGTCACCTGTGGACAGAACAAATGGAATGATGAGACCTATACATGCTAACTTCAAGATCCTGTTTATTTTGTCTATCACGGTTGTTTACCAATTCTGACTAGAAATCTGTGTTTTTGTGTGAAGTAATACAAAATGTGTATGTTTTTTTTTCAATATTTTCCCTTTGAATGGTGTTCGGTCCATTTCTGCTCAATTAAAATTGATTGTTTTTCATTTTAATTGTTTGTATAAAAGTAGAGCGCTTTTTATAACATACTGCTCCAAAGAAGCGTTCCGTAAATTCAAGTCTAGACTCCAAGAATTATTATGTATTTTTACTACATTTTTACTAAATCATTATTCTAACCTTAAACTAACACTGAACCTTAAAATAGTTGAAATTTAGGGCTGCAACTAATTATATATTTATAATTGATTAACTTAAAGCTGCACTGGGTAAGATTTTTTTGTTAACACTAAAAGTAGTAGTATTATAGAGTCACAAGGAGAAAGAACTAAAATATGGTCAATGTAAGTTTTATGTCCACCACGCAAACAAACAGGATTTTGTTTAAGGAAATACCCCAAAGTCTAAAAATAACTAAAAACAGAGTCAGTCATCCCTATACGTTTACAATGCATGTTATGTAGGGCCTTGCAAATTACACAAGGGTCCCGCCTCCCTCTCATGTCAAGGATAAGAGGATGAAGTGGAACTATCCATCTGGTAACAAACAAACCGAAAAAAAAACACCATGAAAGTGAATTGCGGGAACAGCAATCAAGTAAACTTGTGTTCTCTCCAAGTTTGATGTCAGCAAATGACAAAAAATGAAGTGAAATTCAACTAGTGAAAGTCTACTATTTATGATATTTGATGAACGGCAACGGGCAAAGGAGCAGCAGTAGCCTCTGTGGAGAGCAGTTCAGCCCAGACAATATACTGGCATGATGGCACACTCCTCATAGGTGCACATCATTTTAAAACAAGACAATGATTATCTAGTCCCTCAATCAAGGCTTAGTTACAACTCGGGACTAATGCAAAACAGAAAGCAATAGATTGACTTTGACTACTGATTAAATATTGAATTTAAAATGTTGCTGGGCATACTGGGCAATATGGACACACATCTCTTAGTAAATAATAACCTTCAAGTATTCAGCCAAGCCATAGCATAATCTATACTTTTTCAGGTGCTATGCTTATGTTTGTCAGTAAATACTGATTGATTAATGAATATTGTTTGGACCTCATTCTGTTCTGTAGAGGTCCACTTGTTCATAGACTGACAGATGGAGCAAACTGTTTTAAAGGAGGGAGGATCAGTGGGAGCACTGGGGTGTCAGGTGTGGCTGTGTGGCGACTGCAAATGGTTTTCATGACTCATGGTAAGAGGGCCCCTGTGCAGAATTCTGCACCGATGCTCGCTCGCTGTTGGAAGGTTCTGTAGGTTACTCCTTTTCTCTGATAATTACTTTGGGATAATCGTTAATAAGGCAAACCCTCCACATGAATATGCCTAGGGCATTAAACAATGCCCTGTAAACAATGCAATAATCATGCTTATATGATTTTTTTTTTTTAAATGTCACATATACTGTTTTCTATCGCAAAGGCGATAGAAAAAATAATTCAATGGCGATAATGTTGGTGGGTCGTACAATCACTGAAGCCCTAATTTGACCAATGCTGGAAACAAACAGGCATCAGATAGAAAACGATGCCGTGTTTAGTATACTGCATGCAGGTTCACTTACCGCTGTCATGCTTGAGCATCTCCTGTTTGATAAAGGAGTATCCATCGCCCCCGTCCACCAAATAGGATGGCATTACCACTTTATAGACCTTGTTGGAGTCCAAAGGCTCGTAGCGGGGCACCCGACACTCGGTACACAGAATACTCGCTTTCTTTACTCGCTGACCAGGGGATTTCGACAGGTCATACTCAATCTGAAACCCTGCGGACACACAGCCAGCATGAAGAGCAACAAGATAAACAAAAGTGTTGTCAGTAGATACAGAGGCATGACCTTGTCCTTCACAGGATTAATCTTCCGTTGTTTTTGTCTGTTTGAAGGTCATGTAAAACAGACATCAGAGGCTTTAGGCTGACCAGAAAATTGCCTGAGCAGTCACAAGGTCGAAAACAGCAGCTGATTAAATTTTTTATGGCTAAATATACATTTAGGCCAGGTGCCATTTGTCCTATATATATATTTATAGCTCATAATCTAAGAAGGTTGTGGCTTTCTATCTGTGGTTCTGACTGATACAGTTCTATGTCACTGTTTAGAGACAGCTATTGTTTTCTACAGTTCTAGCTTAGTTCAGCTGAATGCTATTTGTCTAAATGTTGGTAGGAATGTAGACTTATCAGGGTGGGAACAAACTAAGTGTGAAACTTCCAAACCATTTTAATAGCTTGTGAAGGCAGAGCTCAAAACAGAGGTTTATGATGTGCTCATCAACACCATCAGATGGACAACAAAGCCTGTTGTTAGCCCATGGATGTAACCTAAGTTAGCCTGGCCAAAAAATCCCCCCCATTCTAATAAGAATGTGCGTCATGGAGAACATGTTACATTGTTTTGCTTGTGTTATAAACTAGAAGGTAGAGGAATGTGGGGTTGGGGTTTGGAAGGGGGTGTACTCTCATGGCAGACTTTGCTGTTTACCACGCTGTCCTCAGGTATGTATTCTCATTATGAGATCATGTCTGGCCCCTAGGAGGCTAGCCCCAGACAGCATGCAGATGTGGGTCATTCTGTTGAACACATGGCACTGGCAAACGGCATGCGTGCCAAAAGTGGCCCACTTTAAAACAAGCTTATTTGGCCTACGTGTCTTAAAAACAGGCCACTTTGGACAAAGATGTGACAGTATGTTGGCTTATGCATCATTTTTAGTAGTCCAGCACAATGTGCTTCAATACAAGGAACACCACTAAATATTCTAGGTTGCCATTCAAATCATATATCAAATATTTGGTTTATAATGATTTGATTATGTTGTGTATAATACGTTAACATTCCAGGGTGGTAGGTGGGCCAAATGAAAGTAGTAAGTGTGGGCCGGAACTGGGCTATCACTTGTAAAGAGGAACCAAGATTCAAAAGAATAAACTCCCTTAGAGCAGGAGGAAGAAAGACTGAGAGGAACCAAGTGATACAGATTTTGCACTGATCTAAACAGGAACTTGGTCAAAGACAATGGGTTTTCCCTCACAATGCCTTGGTAGACTGTTCTCAGTAGGTGAGATCCACTGAATCTGTAAATCTATGAAGGAATCATTAAAGCCCAAAACTGTGGCTACCAAAGGTCCAGGATTGTAGCTTATGGTCACAAAGCATGATATATCCTTATTGGTGTTCTAGCAACATATAAGCATTATAGCTTTGAGAAATCAAAATGTGTCTTTTTAACCTTGTCAGTTTATGTCCCTGGTCTTATTAAGCATAACTCATAACATCATACCATTTAAAATGCTGGGTTACCATTAAAATCTGTTGGATTTCCCAGTCTAAGTAACTGGCTGATTATTTGTCGAAGTACCTGAGACCTGCAGGAATTCTCCAGTGTTTCCTCCGTATCTGTGCACACTGTGCTCAAAGGCCTTAAACAGAGAGGAGCCCCTCAGCTGAACCAGGTCAAACGTCCCACCGAACGGCAGCACACCGATCACGTCCTCCATGGTGATGGTACCTGAGAAAGCAATTCGGCAGACAAGTCAACACTCAGGCAGGTTTCACATGGACTTATCCGCAATGTGTCTGGATAAGCTGATGCCCAGGCAGAATAATCTATAGTGCATCTGGAGAAGCCAATCACCCAAATAGAGTTCACTCTGAATGCTCTACAGTGCACCCATGTAGGCCAATGTCCAGATGATTATTATAGTCATATTGACTGATCTAGAATTCAACTGAATAACTCAATGCCCAGACAATCTTCAGTGCCACTGTTTTGTTTTACATTTCTGAGTCTGATATAAACAGTAGAACTCTCAGGGCCTTGTAGTTTAAAATCTCTTAAGTATTTAAGTAATATTCTTATTTCATTGTGCAGTTTCAGTTCAGTTTCAAGCACAAGGGTTTAAATGTTCCTTTCTCCCAAAGGAAAATTGTCCAATTAGGATTTTTATGTTTGCCAGTAGAAACTAAGCAGAAACAGCCAAGCAAACTCTCTCATTGGTTAGGACTTCAGGAGCTGAACTGAAGGCCTAACATGCCAGATTTACCATTTACTATTATATATATATATGTGTGTGTGTGTGTGTGTGTGTATATAAAAAATATACATATATATACATATATGCACACACACACAGATCAGACATAACATTATGACCACCTCCTAGTTTCTACGCTGAGTGGATCAGACACAGCAGTGCTGCTGGACTTTTTGAACACCTCAGCATCACTGATGGACTGAGAATAGTCCACCAACTAAAAATATCCAGCCAACAGCGTCCTGTGGGCAGCGTCCTGTGACCACTGATGAAGGACTAGAGGATGACCAACACAAACTGTGCAGCAGCAGATGAGCTATCGTCTCTGACTTTACATCTACAAGGTGGACTGACAAGGTAGGAGTGTCTAATAGAGTGGACAGTGAGTGGACACAGTGTTTAAAAACTCCAGCAGCACTGCTGAGTCTGATCCACTTGTACCAGCACAACAGACACTAACACACCACCACCACAGTGTTACTGCAGTGCTGAGAATGATCCATCACCCAAATAAAAGTATGCAGAGAAACAGATGGACTACAGTCTGTAATTGTAGAACTACAAAGTGCACCTATAGAGTAAGTGGAGCTGATAAAATGGACAATGAGCGTAGAAACAAGGAGGTGGTCATAATGTTATGCCTGATCGGTGTATATATATATATATATATATATATATATATATATATATATATACACCGATCAGGCATATATATTTATAGGAAGTGATAGTGTAATCAACCAATCATGTTTCGATTCACAATGAATGGGACCAAGATGGGAAATACAGGGGGTCCTGAGGGGTCCCCCTAATTAACCTCTTAGTCCTCCTGAAAGTCAAAGTGAAAATTCAGGGAAAGGTCATTGTTTTGCCTACTTCACCCACAATCACTGTGCTTTTGTCTATTCTTGACTAGCTGGAGCGCTGCAGCAAATTGGTTCACCCAGTTGGCACTTCATAGCCTAGCAACTGTAACTATGCACAGGATACCTCTGAAAAACTTTACAGTGTGCTGTAGCATATTTGTAAATATCAAACTTGCCCAAAAAGATCAGTAGGAAGAGTAAATTATTACTCATTTCTTAAACTGAAGAGAAAAGAGTAGATGTGTAAGATCTCAGCTGAAGTGTGGAAACCAAACCAAACTAGATAAAAGCATTTTCAAAACCAAACATTTTACTGCTCAGAGAACCGATGTTTGATGCTAGCATCTGCTGCTATGGTAAGAGAGTTATCGGCTAGCCAATGCTGGAATCAACCAACATGGGACACCCTGAATATCAGGAGGTATTTCACACACTGTGTGAGACCAATGCTATAGAGGTCACTCTAGGCCTTCTTGAAATCTTAGGCACACCATTACCTATGAGTATAAGTACTAGACTGGCCAACTTGTATCAGTCAGTTGTTAGAAATGGAAAACAGTAACAGCTTTATGCCAGGACTCTTTACTGAAGGAGTCACTGTAAAAGTGCTACACGATAAAATATATGTTAACATGTCTGTTACAAGCTTTAAATAAAACTTTTAAAGCTTTTACAAGCTCTGTGTCTGTGTTTAATCTAGAACAGCCAAAAATGTTCATGTGAATCGCCATTAGCTTAGCGCTAACATACTAGTAGAATCTTGTAGGGATGCTAGAAGAAATTAGCATTACTGTAGAGGTGTTTTGTCCTCGTTTCTGATCGGGTTTTAACATTTATGGTCCAAACTGAAGGCCTAGCACTAATAGTCATGGTTCGCCACTGTATTATCACTATAAATTTCAGCCTTTATGTCACATAGCCCACAATGGAAATAAGCTCTAGGGTTTACTGTGTTTTAATCTGTGATGATTTTAATGTTTGTAACTGCTTTAATGAGGTGTTATTTGTATTTTTACCATCAAATAAATTCAAATCAATTAAATGGTCACCCCAAACCTGTTAGCTGTTTAACAGTATCAGCAGTTTGTCTGTTAATTAAACAGCTGGGTGTGGAACTGCAGTACACCTGAGAGCAGTTCATCTTCAGAAGGGAACTAAAAGAAGGTCCCGGATGACCAAACAAGGCTACAGTTCTCATGCAATACACAGCTGAGGTGCTCTTGCAAAATGACTTGCCAGTAGTGCCGTCCTGAAGTTACCACACAATGTACCCATGAAGGCTATTTCTCAACTGCTGCACACTCAGAAATGTCACATCACATCCTTTACGTAAAAACACAGATACTGTAAATAAATATATAGCACTTCATATGATTTATACCATTTCTATTACGCTCATCAATGGGGCTTCGAATCCCTCCTCCATTCAAAATACAGGCGCTCACATGGTTCCACTGGACTTCATCTGGATATTTGATGTTGTGATGAACCTGCATCAAGGGAAAAGTAGTTATGTGTTATAACTTCAATCCAAGAAAAAGTCTTTGGTTTAGGAAAAATATATGTAATTTGGGCAAAAAGGTAAAAACAACAAACAAAAATTAAATATGGACAATATTGTATGAATTAAGCTGACTTTTGTTTTGTATGTTAAAAAAAAACATTTGAAACCTAACAAAAAATGCAAAAAGGACTGACAATAATAATAATAATAATAATAATAATAAGATTTGACATTAGGAATATATTTACTGCTAAAAAAAATATTTCATTAAAAAGCCATATATACATATAAGAGTATAGATTTCATTTAGAATGAGTAACTAAAAAGGCTTAGAAGTTTGACTCTCTTTAGTTCTTGGTCTAAAAGGTTAACTAACACAGAGAAGATACACACATCTATAGCTGTATGAAGGGGATTTAAATCAGAGCTTTATGCAGGGTAAAATATTAAAGACCCCCAGCTACCATTACCTGTGCCAAGGTATCTAATGCATACTTGTGTGTGTGTGTGTGTGTATTTTCTGGCCTACTGTGAAAGAGTTAGCAGTGGTTTTCTGCATACATCCTACTCAGAATTTGCCAGATTTAACCACCTGTCTCAGTCATCCCACAAACAGCCTGTGCAGTTTTACACAGTGTGGGTGAAACTAGGTTGAACAGTGGCTGAACAGTGGAAAGATCTTTTTTTAAAAATAACATTGATGGTGGATCTGTGAGGGACACAGATTCACTCCCTGAAATTAATGTACACAATGTAAAACAAGCTTTTTCAGAGCATTTAAAATGACTCTACTTATATCTCTTTCTCAAATTTTCTCCAACTTTCTAATTTTCTGTTACACTTTAATTTCCCAGAGGAGATTTTTTCATGTGATTCAGTCATGTGAACAACCGCCTGCATTTTCAGAGGATACTTAGTACTACTGAACATTACAGGCTCTCTGGAGAACCTTCATCTGCTGCCATTTACACATGCTGCTTCTCTCTGTCATTTCAATAGAGGAATACATACAACAGTTTTATATTAAATAGTGCTGCTTTAAAATACTTTTTATTATAATTATAACTTATTTTTCCAGTTCTGTGAGTTGAGAATCGTGTACTCAAGAGAGTAGAGAGTATCTGGATACAACGTGTATAGAGTTTTTTAATCTATAATATTTGTTAGTGTTTTTTAGTGTTTATTATTTGTTATTATGTGTATTATTTGCATGCAAAAGCAAACAGTCACAGTAGATGGGTGTTTGGTTGCTTCTGATTGGTGGAACTCTTCTATAGGCAGTTCCACAAGCTCTGCTTAACCACTTAAAACTTGGTAAGAGGACACTGTAGTTCAGGGGTTCTCAACCTTTTCCACCTCAAGACCCACCTGTTTGTCACTAGTGAGCATGAAGGCCCACAAGGAAACAAAACTCAGCTGTTTTACTTAACTTCATTTTTGGTAAATTTTTAGCGTGTGCGTCAGTGAACATTAAAATATCAACAGAACGATAGCAAATTCAGTGGAATGTTCCAACAACAGTTTCATTTTGTAGTGTTCCAGGTGGACAGCTGAAACATCGGGGGGGAGAAAATTCAGTTTTTAGAGTAAAAAAAAATGTTTTTGCAGGTGTTTGGAAGGCTGTTTGGAGACATTTTATACTTTTTATTGTTATGTCAATTCTTATTTTATGGCAAACTGCCATCGTAGGCCCAATAAGGACCACTGGAACCCCCTCAGTATTGGCCTGAGGACCACCAAAGGGTGTTTCTAAAAAAAAAGTGTGGACAAAGCCCCATCAGGGGCTATAATCTAGGGGTTAAATGCCCTATCATCTTATCAAACAAGCAACATCTCATGCCATAAAAAATACATGTTTTTCACAGGTTCAGGCTGGTTGTTCAGTCAGACTGACCATGGCATCACAGACCAGGTTCCCCAGATTACATTCACGGAAGCGGCACTCCTCAAAGGTTCCATTGAGATAAACCAGTGTCCTCCCCACGTACTGAGATGAGTAATTAGCCAAGTTCGCCTTCCAGGACTCCACATCCGCCTTGATGACTGGATCTAGAGGAGTGAAAACACATTTTCTACTGAAGTTCCACAGACGGAAGTTTTTGTTTAGCAGTATATTTGCACAGTGATTTATCATCACAAGTTACAATCGATCATCCATGACCGAGTCAATCATTGTCTAAGCAGATTATGTTCAACAGCTAAAACTCTGAAGCAACAAGCATGACTGCTTTTCTGTTTCCTCCTTTAAATCGTAAATAATTCTGCATAATTCAATCATAAATAAGGAGTTAGAGTGAGTGTTCACTGTAGAGAAACTTAGACTGATTTCTTTACAGTGGCAGTGATAGGAACCAGGGGTCATAATGTCTACAACACAAATACAGTCATTTTATTTACTATCCAAAACCACCAGTGAACCCACACGAGTTTTATATGTAATGTTGATGGTAAAATAGTCATAAATCTGAAAAATTAAGTTTTCTTAAGGGACCATTTTGCCCTATAATGCCCTGCAGGTACCTCTCCATGAATATATTTTTAACAAAATGAGACTAAAACTTTCTCAGTGCTAAGAAAATATAAATGTCTCAGACATCAGGCAGCATATTAGTAACCATTTCACATGATAATGTTCTTAGAAGGAGCTTTTAGAGGCATTTAAATCTTCAGACATATGGTTCCTATCACCACCACTGCATACATTTCTGATTTGGGTGGAGTTTCAAATATCTTAACCATGTAATCATGCAGATATTAAGAAACAGCCCTTCCTTTTTAAGTCCCAGGTCTCAGAAGCCAAACCTCTGCCTGTCGACAGGGAGTCAATAGACAACTGCCTACTTTCACAGGAAAGGGACATCTGACTACCATGCAAATCATCCATCCATGGAAAGCTAACGTGTTACAGTATAAACATGCTTGTGAAATGAAAGTGGAATGCAAGGCAATCATGTGACAGTATCTCACTTACTAGCTTCCAAATGCTTTAAAGAAAACTTGAACAATAGATGAGATGCTGCAAACGTCGCTTTTTCATTCCAGCAAATATATTTTACTTCAAGAGGCTCACTTTGTTTACAGCACACGAGCAAAAGTGTCCTTCCTGTGAACTGATAAAAACTGGTGCATGGAAACGTGTGACTAAAGACGTGCAGATAGCCAATCAGAGCGGAACTGAACAAATACTGATAGTTGCGGTCAGTGTAACGTTCTCATAGATATCAGATGACTCTACAATGTTCAGCCTCATTCACACTGTTCTAGAATGTTCTCCCCATTTACACTGTTCTTAAATATTTTCCCCATTTGCAATGTTCTTGAATGTTCTCCCCAATCACACTTCTGTACAATGTTCTCCCCTTTACAGTGTTCTAGATGTTCTCTTCCCATTCACATTGTCCTAGAGTGTTCACCCCATTCACGCTAATTGGGAATGTGCTCCCCATTCACATTTTTCCATAACGATCTCCCCATTCACTTTGTTCTTGAATGTTCTCCCCATTTACACTGTCCTAAAATGTTCTCCCCATTTCACACTTTTGTATAATGTTCTCCCCATTCACTCTGTCCTAGAATGTTCTCCCCATTCACACTATTCTAGAATGTTCTCCCCTTTACAGTGTTCTAGATGTTCTCTTCCCATTCACACTATGCATGTTCTCTCCCATTTGCACTGTTCCATGACTCACATTGTTTTAGAATGTTCTCCCCATTCACACTGTTCTTGAATGTTCTCCCCATTTCATACTTTTGTATAATGTTCTCCCCATTTACACTGTTCTTGAATGTTCTCCCCATTTCATACTTTTGTATAATGTTCTCCCCATTTACACTGTTCTTGAATGTTCTTCCCATTCACACTGTTCTTGAATGTTCTTCCCATTTACACTGTCCTAGAATGTTCTCCCCATTTACACTGTCCTAGAATGTTCTCCCCATTCACACTATTCTAGAATGTTCTCCCCTTTACAATGTTCTAGATGTTCTCTTCCCATTCACATTGTTCTAGAATGTTCACCCCATTCACACTATGCATGCTCTCCCCCATTGCACTGTTCCCATGACTTGCACACTATTCTAGAATGTTCTCCCCTTTACAATGTTCTAGATGTTCTCTTCCCATTTACACTGTCCTAGAATGTTCTTCCCATTCGCACCGTTCTAGAATGTTCTCCCCATTCACACTGTCCTAGAATGTTCTCCCCATTCACACTGTCCTAGAATGTTCTCCCCATTCACACTGTCCTAGAATGTTCTCTTCCCACTCACACTGTTCTAGAATGGTCTCCCCTTTCACACTATGCATGCTCTCCCCCATTTGCACTGTTCCATCATTCGCACTGTCCTAGAATTTGCAGTGATTTATCATCACGAGTTACAGTCGATCATCCATGACCGAGTCAATCATTGTCTAAGCAGATTATGTTCAACAGCTAAAACTCTGAAGCAACAAGCATGACTGCTTTTCTGTTTCCTCCTTTAAATCGTAAATAATTCTGCATAATTCAATCATAAATAAGGAGTTAGAGTGAGTGTTCACTGTAGAGAAACTTAGACTGATTTCTTTACAGTGGCAGTGATAGGAACCAGGGGTCATAATGTCTACAACACAAATACAGTCATTTTATTTACTATCCAAAACCACCAGTGAACCCACACGAGTTTTATATGGAATGTTGATGGTAAAATAGTCATAAATCTGAAAAATTAAGTTTTCTTAAGGGACCATTTTGCCTTATAATGCCTTGCAGGTACCTCTCCATGAATATATTTTTAACAAATGAGACTAAAACTTACTCAGTGCTAAGAAAATATAAATGTCTCGAACATCAGGCAGCATATTCTTAGATATGTTCTTAGAAGGAGCTTTTAGAGGCATTTAAATCTTCAGACATCTGGTTCCTATCACCACCACTGTAAACGTGTACACTGCACACTGTCCTAGAATGATCTCCCCATTCACACTGTCCTAGAATGTTCTCTTCCCACTCACACTAATCTAGAATGTTCTCTCCTTTCACACTATGCATGTTCTCCCCCATTTGCACTGTTCCATCATTCACATTGTTCTAGAATGTTCACCCCGTTCACATTGTTCTAGAAAGATCTTCCCATTCCAACTGTGCTTGAATGTTCTCTTCCCATTCTCAGTGTTCTAGACAGAAAACTCTCAACAAAGAATATTCTACCAGTCAAACTATTCTAGAATGTTCTACCCTTTCACACATTTAGCACTCCTATTCTGCTGTTGTAGAATGTTCTCCATCATTCACACTATGCTGTTTTTCTCCCTTCAGTGTTCTAGAATTGCCCTGCGATGGACTGGCGACCTGTCCAGGGTATATCCTGCCTACTGCCCAATGACTGCCGGGGTAGGCTCCAGCATCCCCCCCTGTTTTAAAATGTCTCTATAATCTAGACTGATCTAGAATATTCTTATTCTGAAACAGTTTGAAGATGCAGTTGATACTTGTTTGCTGGTAGGTCAGTGAGCACTACTCTTTACTGTGCATTACTCTTTTTCTACGTCTTCCTTTTTTTCTGATGTAAAGCATGCTTGAGTTCATGAAAGGCCACACAAGTCTGATAAGAGTTCTTCCTGCAGCACTTACCCTCTATTACTGAGCTATCAAGAAGAATTGGATTTCCTGCAGCCTTTATCAGGTTTCCAGACGAATCGAAGGTCACTTTGAGGTAGCCGAGGTATTTCCCAAAGGCATAGGCCTGCACCACTGGGACCTGACGTCCATCCTCTGATTTTACCATAAACGGATAGGGTCCAGCTGGCACCTCTGTGGATGGAGGTGTCCCTGTAGACACACAAATATAAGATAACACATAAAGCAGACAATAAATATATGGAAAATATCCAAACTTTACCCCTAAAACACTAATGTTGAATTATAAATGAACTTGCTTCAGTGCAGTGTTGGTAAGCCAGAACTGCTGCTGGTTTAGCCTTATCACTAAGCTAACACTAGCCTCTGGTGCTAACAAGGACGTAAATTAAAAGTAGCTTAAGCTAACAGCATCACAACACAAAAACACAGGTTTACCAGCTCAAATTCGAATTTTTAGAGGCCAAACCTGCGTCAGTGAGGCTTCAGTGAGCCGGAATCAACCTGTGCTATGGCAACACTGTTGCAGGCTAAGCTACTGGAGTAGCATGCCACCTGCTATCAGAGCAGTGCCCGACGCTGGTGAGGAGTGGCATGAGGCCAGTGTCTGAGCCCCATGGGCCACTGACAGCCGGTATGATTCCCACAATCAACCCCTCTGACACGACCGCCCGGACAGGCCTCACGTCTAGCAGCGCAGCCCCTGGACCATGTTTGACCCCAGTGGTGTTGCTGTGGAATGTGAAGCCGGAGGCAACTGGGGTCAACAAATTCTCTCTTTCCCTCTCAGCTCAGATGCTCATGCTGCCCTTAAGGAGGGCCAGCTGATGCTTGTTAGACATCAGCACCCTTTGGCTCCAGTCACATCCTTTCATTAGCATGTTTTAGTATATTGGACCCTGATAGGTTCAAGCTTTCATGACAATACAAAACTAAGCTGCCACGTACTACCCAACTTGAGACGATGCTGCATATATCGATTCAGTTCTGCATTAATTGTAAGTTCATCACATTTATGACTTAGGGATGCACTATGATATAGGTTTGTGTGCGCAAGCTACCATCATCTGATTGCGCCCCCTAGCTGTCGCTAATTCATAAAATTATCGTATTATCAGCACACATAGGAGACAATGGCCTCAAATACTGCCTGGGAGACTTTGAGAGATTTTAAAAAGGAAGATCAGCCAAAAAATCACCCTTGTAAAGAAATCAGAATTGGCCATAAAAGAATTATATTTTATTATTGTTTTCATTATTTTTCTGGTTTATCACGACTCATTAGATGTCCAAACATTATACAGACACCTGCTTATTCGGCATTTCTTCTGAATTTAAGGGTATTAATAAGGAGTTTGCCCTCTCTTTGCTGCAGTAACAGCTCCTACTCTTCCTAAAAGGCTTTACACTAGATGTTGAAACATTACTGTGAAGATTTGATTGCATTCAGCCACTATTGCCATTAGTTATACAGGTACTGATGTTAGATGATTAGCTCTGGACTGCTCCAACTCATCTCAAAAGTATTGGATGGAGCTCCACTGCTCAACAGCCCAATGCTAAGGGACTTTATTCCCCCTAGCTGATGTCTGGCACTGTGTATAGTGACCTTAGATTCATGTGCCACTAATCCAGAGCTTCCCATTCTGTTGGAAATGCTGTTATATGGAGATTATAGGGGTGCATCTCTATATATTTACCAATTAGAAAGGGGTGTCTGGATACTTTTGGACATATACTGCATACACTTAGGCCCAATCCCGTTTCTTTTTTTTACCCCTACCCTGTGTCACCTTGCCCCTTAGAACTGAGTTACAAGGGGTAGTGGTTGAAATTTTCCCATATGAAATGGGACCCTCAAATAAAAAAGAACAGTACTTCATTAACAGCTACTAGCGCTGCTCTGTAGGCGACCCTGCCAGTCTGCAGTGACACCAGAGGAGGGTAAAGTTCAGCTCCTCACTGCTGGGCTTTAGTTACATTTAGGGAATCATATGCCTTCAAAGACAGGGGGACAATTATTTATTGCCCACCCCTAATTCCTCTGTGATTTGAAGCTGAAGTCAGATATTCACCATTTGCCTTCTTGTTTGAATTTTGCCTGAGGCGCCAGAATGTAATTGCTGCACCATTTAAGGTGGAACGGGAAATTAGCTAGATAGCTAGTGAGATATCAGCATACTACTAGCGATTTTTTATGCTTGTTATGAAGAAAAGGACCATAAATCCATTGAAACAACATTAAACTAAGATAATACAATGGATTCTTTAAGAGAGAAAATCTTTAAATTTCTTGTTTTTTTTGGTCACTTGTGTAGCCATCTTGTCGTTTTTTTCTCATAACACTCCACATGGAGTGAGCCTCTGAAAAGCCTTAGTTTAGAGGGCCATATAGCCCTAACACTTCACCCTATCTCAACAAAAATCAGTGAATGCGCAAACCAGAAGGCTAAGGGCTAAGTGGTAGGGGCAAGGGGTGAAATGGGATTGGGCCTTACAGTGTGTAGTGGAAAATATATCACCCCTGGCTCTGAAGGACTCTGGGAACACAAATCATGCCAAGGGATCATAATCAACAATAACTTTTATGGCCTTGCCTGGGAGCCAGCAGTCTGTGTTTATGCCGCTGCTGACCTCTTAGAAGCAGATTACCGTTTAAATCATGGCTTTCAGAGAATTCTGTAATGCAAAATCCAGAAACGCAAACGGCACAACCCCACAGTGGGTTCCTCCCATCCTTTCTGCCAGGAACATCTGCTAAGACACTGATTAATAGGATACTATGTATTTCCTACTGTACTGAACTGAATGTACTGGAGTAGATAATATTTCCCCTGAACTAAATTAGTTCAGCTCAGGAAAGACTTGGTAAAGAGCTTTAATGATCATCTTCCCAGCTGAATTAGGTGTATTAGTTTAAGACGTAAACCAGAAAAAAATATGGGAGAAAATTTTACTAGCATAAAATTGCTGTTTGATAACGATCCATGTATATTTATCAACACTCGGCTTCATGTTCATCGAGTGTCTATCTTGGTATGAAGAGCAGATCTTTTCTAAATAATAACTTGATAGTTTACTCTAATTTATACATAGTGAGAGAACACTCAGAGGTACATTGTGGCCACTGAGTACAAGTTAGCTACAGGGATATTTCCTCTACATGTCCAAAGTCTTAGAAGTTGGTTGCACTTACTGATTTTTACAATCCAGGTAAACCCAATTACAAATGCAGATACATCAGTCCCTAAAACTTTACTCCAAGTGGCATTTATCTGAAAACAGACAATTTCAACACTGTTATCTTCTTTTTGGCAGTATAAGTATTATTCCAAAAGACAGCTGTTGGGTTTCACATTCTTATCGTTTGAGCAGCTTCTTCAGATTTGCAGATCCAAAACACCTTTATACACTTCATGATTCCATCAATGAACACAAGCTCACTGACTGGTTCAGTCTGGTTAGAGTTCTTCTCCAGAACTTCCTCACACAGACAGTCTGGCATCGGTTTGATTGTGTTTTTCTCTGACGCAAACATCATGTTGTTAAACTTCATCAAAGTTTACCAATGGTTAAAATGACCAAATACTTTTTGGAGCCACTCTAGATAACTATGTTTGTAGTTCCTATGGAGCATGCTCCTGAAATGAACCAGGGTACTGACAGTGGTGCAATACTGTTTTCTTTTCAGTAAAGCAGCTCCTGCTCGAAGGCCTCTGCTGAAGAAGCTTTTCTCAAGACAGGTGGAAAAATACAGACCCACTGCATGGCAGGGAGAGGGGAAGTGGCCCACCTTAAAGAAAACAGCTCAGGTTCCTGTCAGAGCTCTTTAGAGGTTTATGCTGTTGTGAAATCTACATATTTTTACTGCAGTATTTTTTTGGGTGGGGTGATGGACTGGGTCTCCTCATTTTAAAGCCTGAAACCTGTTTTTTGACAGGTCAGTTAAAGTCCAATACTAAAAATAATGTTAAATATCAAGGTGAGGTCCACAGCAAGTATCTTGAAATACAGACGTGCAAAAGTATGGACAACCCTGGTCAAATGAAATACTTTATTGATTTTCTAAGAAAACATTTTGAGATCCACTTATTATGTATCTGGTTTTATGTTCCAATTAATTTTATATGACTATGTTCCAACATCTCTTTATTCCTGTAGAATTAAACAGGCTGTTTTGTTACTGTGCCCTTAAGAATGATACACTATATGGACAAAAGCATTGGGACACTTTTGGCACAACTGGGGTTCAAGTGTTTCAGCCACACTCATTGCTAACAGGTATATAAAATTAAGCACATAGCTTTGCAGTCTTGATAGACAAACACTGGCACTAGAATGGGTCAAACTGATGAGGCACTGTCATAGGATGACCCCTCTGCCACAAGTCAGCTTGTGAAATTTCTGTCCTGCTAGATCTGCCCCTGTCAACTGTAAGTGCTATTATTGAGAAATGGAAGCAGCTAGAAGCAACAACAACACAAAGCGGCACACAAACTTGCAAACTCCGAAATCCTAATGCTTCAGCAGACCAAGACATTTTGGACAATTGTATGCTTCCAACTTTGTGGGAACAGTTTGGGGAAGACCCTTTTCTGAAGTGCTATAGCTCGATATACATAAATGAGTTGTTTTTTCAAAGAAACAGTGAATTTAAACAGTGAGTTTTCCACAGTAGGGGCCCTTTAAATGTGCCATTTTCTACAAATTTCAGAGCACAATTTCTATTGAATCATGTGCAAAAGTTTGGGCGCCCAATGTTTTGTTGATTTGCTAAGTGCACGTATGCACATTTCAATGCACAATTACTGTTTATTTGCTGAATTTAACAAGGAGAAATATGGCCTGTGCAAAGATTATGGCACATTTTATATGTTATGCTTTGTTTGTTTACAATACATTAATCTCAAAAAATAAACAGAAATTGTGCACTGTGTTGTGTTGTGTTGTTCAAACTTTTGCATACATACATACATCATCTAAACCGCTTATCCTTCTCGGTCGCGGTGGGATGCTGGAGCCTATCCCAGCTGTCATTGGGCGGAAGGCAGGATACACCCTGGACAGGTCGCCAGTCCTTCACAGGGCAGACAGACAGACATACACATTCACACACTCACTCACACCTAGGGGCAATTTAGCACGTCCAATTGGCCTGACTGCATGTTTTTGGACTGTGGGAGGAAACCGGA